GAAAGATGAAGAGAAAGATGAAGAAAGAGAGGTACATATGTATAGTGAAGAGAAGAAGTGATTGTAGTCAAGAACCGCATTGTGGGTATGTAGAATCGTATATAATATATGTAAAGATGCAGTAAACGTATATACAAATTCCACCATTTTCCCATCCATCCTAACACCTGTCCCAGAAATAAATGTTTAAAGGACCCCAAGATCAAAACCAACTCCTCCCGATCACAGCTCTTGTTCTCGGGGAATTTATACGCCATGACTCGCAGCCCTTAACCCTTAATCCAAATATATATAACAGTCACACCAAATTTTAACAATCCACTTGAATAAGAGTGAATCTCCTTTCTCCTCTCATCAAATGTTCCCACTCCCCTCTGGTCCCCGGACTCACATCCTCCACTCTATTCGGGGTTCTATCACCCCTCAAAAATGGTCCTCGATCTTCTCTCTCTCCATTTCCGCTCTTCCTCTCCCAAATAGGACTTTCCCCATCCCTCCCCTTAGCACTCTCACCCACCTCCACCAAATCCTCCTCCCCACCACTAAAGGAGGTCTTCACCGAAAGCGACTTCCTCACCTCATCATTAAAAATCGCTTTTTCTCCTGCACTCCCCCCATAAACCCTCTTATACCCCTCCTCAACATCACACAGCGCACTCAGCGAAATCCCCAACCACTCATACCCTCTCATTACCTCCCCCCTTCCGATCTGTCCCCCTCGCACTAAGACCACGCGTCTCAACTCATCAATCGCAATACCCATATCTTCCGCCGAAAGACTACGCGAATAAGTATGCAGTGCGCATTTAAACGCATACAGATAATCCAGCGAGTAAAGGGATAATCCCGGCGCGGTGAACACGACGCGGTTCTGAGCCAGCGAGCGACGAATGAGATCTTGAATTGAGGGATCGGAGATGGGGGAGGAGAGAGAGGAGGAGGAGAGCCAGTCGGATCCGATGGAGGGGAATTTTTTCTCGGCCCGGGAAATGGTGGAGCGGAGGATGCGTTCGGCGCGGGGAGTGAGACTGGTGGAATGCATGAGCGTGATGCCGTAGCGATTGGGGGTATCGGGGGATACCCATTCTGCGGGGGGAGAAGAGGGGGAGGAGGGAGGGGAGATGGATGCGCGAATGTGGTGGGCCATGGTATCTTTTGGGGAAGAAGGAAGGCCGGAGTATTTTGTGCGGGAGAGATAGATTGTTGAGGTGGAGAGGGTAGATGTTGTTGTTGAGTTTGAGCGCTCAGAAAGAGAATTTGAGAAGATCGTGCTGGTTGGACTTGAAGAGCGAGAACTAACTGGGGAAGTTCCTCGACTTGAGAGTGAGATGTTGCGAACGTGAGATGTGAGTGGAGCGCTATTGTAAAGAAGTGTCGATGGTGATGTAGTGAGAGAATAAGAACCGGGCGCGGTTGTAACTTGGGACATCGCGGGACTTTGGATCTGATTATCTTTTTTGACGACGATCAATGATAGATGAAGTCTCTTTCGCACCAAACGTTTCGATACATAATCGAGAGCTTCGAGTAACTCTGATGGTAGTTGCATTGGTTGGAGCAACGATGTGCCCGCTTCCAATGGAGAGGATATGTTATGCTTTGAGATAGGCATATTGATGACAATAAACAGATATGCAATGAGTATATGTTATCGAGAGACCTTTAATTGTCTATCTTGATATCCAGTACAAAAAGCTGAAGCCGATGGGAGAGCTACTTAACTCAAGGGAGCCGTCGGAGATATATAAATCTCAAGACTTCCAAAACCAAGAAGACGCCAATACCCAAAATAAACTCTCCGATGCATGATACCCGCATAGCGGAGAGACAAGCATGTAGCCTTAGCATGTAACTAACATGGTATATAAGGCATATCGCGCAAGATACTGATAGATCGTGGAGCTTTGACTACATTCTGCTCTATGATCACTTAGTACTACATCAATAGTATCATAAAGGGGAAAATTGTTTCTCTCTAGTGTGAATGGTGTGTGCAATCTGCAAGACATTCTTATATATATGATATGATTGGTTAGAAGTGCATTCTAAAATAAAACATTGCATTCATTTGATTTTAACCGATGGGTGAGTTTATTTTGGGAGTTGCAGATTACTATGCAGCATACTCGACTCGATAAACACACACCTCTTTACACGCTACATGCTGGAATAGATTGGTATGTAGTAACACCAAGCGAGACTTTTATCAATTTCTCCAAGATGTGATGAACTCCCGGGCGCCTAACACCCCCTGAATCCTAGTCACACACAGATATCCATATCCAATCCGTGCAACCCCTAACACACTTCCAGTTTATTTTTGGATGTGACGAACTGTCAAATATAGAAACAAATTACCCCGCACCACCCACTTCTGGCGTTTATCTTTGTGTTGATCAGTAGATCAATTGATGTAAACAAGATTTGTCTCCTAATTGAATGCGAGCCCTATCCTCCCTCTATTTCAACGTAGATTCGAATAGGGAATTTTCCGATATCACAATTCAAAACCTTGCATATCGCATATTGCAAATTGAATATCACATATTTCTATTTGCATTTTGTACTTTCTGGTAATCCAATACTCGTCTACTCGGATCTATGCGCCTATTGCTCGCATATTTAGATCTTCCCCATTCATAAACATAAGGTAGGTTCTCATGCCGGACTAGATGTTAATTTTAGGTCTTCTTAAGCTTTTATGATATAGGTCTACTAGACTTTTAGATCCCTGTGTCTCGATCCCCCCTTTGCCAGGATTCTTATAGACGTCATTCTTTATAAATATTTTAGATTATCAAAGTCATTTATCACACTCACTTCATATCTAACGTCCAAATCGTCATGGACCAAAGCGAACAAATATCCGCGGCCCTTGGAACTTTTAGTGAACATGAACTACATTACTACAACCATAGAAATTTGAGTTTCCAACACTCTCATCCTGAGTGAGTATATGTCTATATATCTAGAAAACCACCCGACTTACTTATCTATCTCTCTATAGCTAAGTCAATATAATTATCCCGAATATTGATCTCAGTACTTCTGAACAAAACATCACCCACACAAATCTCCATGCACCCACATATCCCACTTATTCTCATCCTCAACTCCTTATTTTCTTCTTCACAAAAGAATTATTCTCCCTCCTCTCCTTACTCCCCAGCCTTTCTCGTTCCTCCCGCTCTCCTCGCCTCTCCCTTCCTTCTCCCATCTCTTCCCTCATCCTATCCCACCATCCTAAAACCCACAGATACATCTACCCAAACTCTCAAACTCCAATCCCAATTCCACCACCTAACAAAACCATAAATACACACCCAAAACCTCCCCAACATCCTCACATATCCTCACACAATCCTCTTCCCTCAATCACTCAGTGACACTCACTCACGCAACAAATATTCACTCACCTCCCAAACCCCGCATACTCGTCATCCCATCTTTTCTTTCCTCCTTCAACTTACACACCCCTCTATATTTCCCCTTCTCTATCCATCTCCATCTCCAATCCTTCCATAAACATTACACCCATCTTTCTCCTCCCCTCCTCCTATCCCTCCTACTCCTCCCCTCCCACCCCACTCCACCTCTCTCAATTCCCAATACACACCATAAATATCAATCCACAAATAACCAACTAGCATATTCCCAAATCCCACCTAACTACTCATCTAAATACTCATTCACTAACCTTCCACATCTACCTGTATACCCCATATACTCATTCTCTCTTCATTTTCGCTTCCATGTTCTTTCTATTTCCCTCACCCTCACCCTCACCCCCACCCTCTATCCATCCATCCATCCATTCATTCACCCATCCATCCATTCACCCCTCTTTCCCCTTTAGCTTTTATCTTCCAACCCCCAACCCCCAACCCTCTATCTCTACCCATATCTCTACACCCCTCCCACCGAACATAGATCCATCCCAAACAAAAACTCATCACCCCCACCAAAAAAGCAAAAAGCAAAAACCAACAACAAAAACTCTCAAACACCCCTTCATCACCTCTTTGTCACCACCACACTACCACCACATCTTCACATCTCCACATCTCCCCTCCCTAAAATCCACACACTCATTTCCCCCTCGTCAACCCCCCACCCCCTCTTCAAACATCCTCACACACCCACAAACAAAAACCTTCAACTCCACTATCCAATCGTTAATCCCTGAATCATTCCACACACATATACCTTCTTTTGATTCCTCGCATTCAAAGTTTATTCTCTCACTCGAGTTCAAGCTACGAGCTCTCACTCCCGAGGATTGAGCCGCTTGCGCAACGTTCGTCCACTTCACCTCACCCAATCATATTAGCTCACAGTATAATTCACATAAAACACACACACACACATACAAGGCCCCAGAAGAATATAATATCCTATTCTCACTAATGCGAATCGGATTTATGATCCTTCCTTTTTTCCCCCCTTCCTCCACACCTTCAATTCCTTTCGAACACATAACTAATATCTTGAGTTCCATCATTCATAACATACACACCCGTTTCGGTTTCATTCGATTCCATACAACGGGGCATAAACATCGTCGTGTTATCCATCCATCCATGCATATTGATAACTATACCTCTTTCTTGAACATGAATGACATCACGTGCCTAGTACCAAAAAACTGGTCGACTAAAATTCCACGTCCGTCCCATCGTACGATACCAACCATACCAACACCTTACCGCCACCCCACCCATCACCAAAGAGCTGTGAACAAGCCAGAGTAAACCACCTAATATTCCAATCCAATGCCTGTGAAACAAAAAGAGATGATGTGACGTAAGGTTATCTTGCCCGTACTGTAACATATGTGCAGAAGAATAGTTTAAACTGCAAAGTACAAAAGAAATATAGCCTTCTTGAACAAGTAGCCTAGCTCCGAGACTCCGAGTATGAAACTTTTGTTTAAAAATCCACGAATAGGTGCCCAAATCTACTACTGGTTAGTTGAGTTTGACGAAGGTCAAGACATTCACTTACTCATCGGGCCCACCTTGACCATATATCTCCGTTTCTTCAGGGTACTTATCAAACTGGCTGGCATCTCCAACTCCGGCCTTAACAGGAGGAACATAAGGTGCATCGATATCCTTCTTGGATAACCTTTCCCAAGTTACTTCAGCGAACCATTGATGATTCTTGACATCCTCAGAACCACCATGTAAGTTACCAAGACGCTTGGTGAGATCTGCTGTGATCAATCTTTGCAACAAGTCCTGTGCATCTGGGTGAATATAGGGAGGATACTTAACCCTCCCTTTGAGAATATTCTCATAGATTTTCATGGGAGAGCCACCATCCCAAAATGGTGTAAAACCACAGAGCATTTCGAAAATTAATATACCAAGGGACCACCTGATTCATATTAGTTGGATGATACAACCTTTTAGGATAATATGGTTCCATCGAGCGCAGCGAGGACGGGGGTTTGGGGGCTTGCCCCCATAAGAGGAAACATATGATGAGAATGGTTTTATTGACGACACTCCGCTGGGCCACTGCCGTGGAGGCATTTTTGCTTCGCTCTAGAAGTAATGTGGAGGGATGAAGAGGCTAAAACTTACCAATCTACGGATTTATTATAACCTTTACTCGAGACTACTTCTGGTGCTAAGTAATCTGGGGTACCACACAACGTCCATGTAATATCTGGGACCTTCTTTGCAAATCCAAAGTCAGTAATCTTAAGATGTCCGTGCCTATCAAGTAGCAAATTCTCTGGTTTCAAATCTCGATAAATGATATGTTTTGAATGAAGGTATTCTAAAGCCAACGTAACTTCAGCAGCATAGAATTTGGCTACAGGATTGGGGAATCGCTGGAGTTAAACAATTAGTGTCTATCAAGAAGTTGGTGTCATTGAACTTACTTGAGACTTTCGCAGTAAAGAGAATAGTTCACCCCCCTCTACAAAATCCATCACCATGTATAAATTCTTCGAGTCTTGAAAAGTACCCCATAGAGTAATCAGGAATGGATGCTTGACTTCTTGTAACATCTTTCTCTCATCATTGGTATGTTCGACCTGCTTCATCTTGTGCACCTGCGCCTTCTTCAACACTTTGACGGCATAGTATCGCTGATTGTGCTTCGATCGAACTAGATGAACTCGTCCAAAACTTCCAGTGCCCAATGTGCGCTGAATATCAAAATCTGTCAAAGAATATTTGCCCTTGGTTTGTCTAATCTGTGGCTGCTGTTGTGATTGCTGCGATTGTCGCTGTGAAGAGTCCATTTGAAGAGTGCTGGTGTTAGCAGCTACTGGATGTAGTGAAGGTTGTGAAGAAGCTGGTGGGGTTGGATATGACTGGCTCGCGCCGTCATGCTGTGGTGGATGAATCAAGTTGCTAATGCTGGGAGAGTTTTGACGGTGCTGCTGTTGATCGGAATGAATTTGCGCAGATTGCTGCTGTGGAGTTATTCCGTGTGTCATTGAGGCTTTTTTGCCCACGGCAGTCGGTTGGTCGTCTGTTGTGCGAGAGGTTGTAGTTTGGAGAACCTCGTGCTCGTGGGATTGGGGTAAAGTCGATTGGGTCGAGACAGAAGCTATCGAATTATGGAAGCCTCTTGATGATGTGGGGGTCGTCGGACTGGTTGTGGCTTGACTTGATGTTGGAGAGGTTATAGCCGGAGACTCCTTCGTCCGTTTCTTCTTCAAAAAACCGAGTGTCGGCATAGAATGAAAATGGTAGGTTGCTGGATGTCGAGTTTGATAGATCGACAGTCAGCAGAAAGCAGGGCCGCGGGTGTGTAGGCCGAATGCAGGATGATATGTAAGGTAGATGGGTAGGTGGTAGGTGGTAAGGTTACCCCAAAAGCAGTCTTGACAGACAAGCCTAATTGGGGAAAATGAATGTGTGTATGTTGTTTAATTATCGGGCACCTAGAAAGGAAGGGAGGAAGATATGTTATAAATTAACAAATTTGAGTTTCTTTCTCGATTCTCTTAGAGTCTTCGTGAGCAAAGTCAAGGAGGGAGTTGCAAGTTGCTCGTTTTTGGGGGTAAGCTTCGTAGGATGCGGATCGTTGCAGTTGTGAACATGAACTGTGTCCGTTGCGACAAAGAGCATCAATTGATTGGAATGATACAATATTGGAGTGAATTAAGGGTTGGAGAATATCGGTATGAGTGGAATAATTATACCAAATGGAATTCAATTGAGAATATCGAGGCTAATGGTAATGATAACGACAATGATACATGAATTAATAAGGATTGATGTATTTTTGGGGGGGGAAGTTTGAATTGGGATTGGAGGAGGTTGGTGGGTTGGGTTGGGTTGGGGTAGATAGCTGTGGTATGTAGTGTAGGTAGTAGTAGTAGTAGTAGGTAGTGGGTAGTAGTGGGTAGTAGTGGGTGCGGGAGGTGTGTGATCATGTAAGAAGATGGACGCAATGATTACTGGGCTTGGTGGTGGTGGTGAGAAGGTAGTGGTGGTGGTGAAGAAGGTAGTGGTAGTAATAGGTACAGAATGAAGAATGATGATAATGTGAGGGGAAATGATTAATAAGGAACTGAATTCCGAGAGTTGCCTGGGTAGGTAGGAGGAGGAGGAGGAGGAGGAGGAGGGCGATAGGTTGATTGTTTGATTGGAATATGACCACCACCATTGACCGTTAATCGTTAAGCGTAGGTATTTCTTCTTCTTCTACTGAGTCCTGACTACCTAGGTACGGAGAGGTAGAGGTAGAGAGAGGTAGAGTAAAGTGACAATTCTGCTACAACGTTTTAACTCTCTCTCCTAGAACCATCTCAATAAAGTCTTTCGGTTCAATTTCTCTTGTCGATGTTAACTGGATTGCTCACTACAGAGCAGATACCTAATAATTGCTAAATTGCTAAATTGCTAAATGCTCGATGCTCGATGATGATGATGTTCGCTCGATGCTCTCCTCTCCTCTCCGTCCGTCTTCTGTGCACTCGGTGTATGGCGTTAGCGTTGGTGGGGTTGATGCTTGGTTCATCATTTGAGGATTCACTTCTTGGGGGAGGAAGAGGAGAAGATCAACCCGAGATATACTGCAGCTGGTAAGACGAAAAATTATGCCTTTCAAAATATCTGCTACCACCGTCCTGATAGTAAAGAAGACGAAGCCAAGTTTTCCAGTCTGGATGGTTTGTTCTTGATGGCGCTTTATTCTTTCTTTCAGTTCCAGTCCTTTAATGCCTTGACTGTCAATATACCCACGACCTAGGTAAGGAATGGTAGCTGTCTCGTATCTGCTATCTCTCCATGCTTAAGTTAAGGTTACACTTCTCCATTCGTTTATCGGAAAGTAAAATCAAGAGATGATACTGAGAATATTACTCTATGGAGTGAGTAATTGCTTCCATCTACTTTGACATTCTCTGATGTCAGAAATCCCAGACACTCGTTGATCAAACTACCTGATCTCTCGGTGCCATTCCATTCTATCAAAGGATTGATTCTGCACCAAGTACCAGCTAGCTACCAATGTAGATGTGTATGTGCCTACCAAGGAAGATCTTACTTGCTCTCACAATGTGAATCATGCAACCAATGAAAATGCGGGGATATCAGGATTCTCCGTCTGGACCTTACGGATCTCACATCACTAGCAAAAATGCAAAATCGTTCACAAAGGAAGTGGACACGCCATGGAGATTGACGATCTTGATCCATCTTGTATTTCCTGTCTATATCATCATTATTAGTCAGCCAGCTTCATCACCCACCTACCACGCTCTACTTCACCAACTAACTGTGCTCTCAGTCTCTGTATGAGCAAAGTCTATCCTCTTTCGCAATATCCAGTACCAAATCAGGCAATCAATGTTTCAAACAAAAAGTCAACTATAATTTATCCACGTCACTGCAATTGCTAGGTAGATATGTCCACCTTGGTATGAACGAGTGCCGATCTATGCCATCATGTAACATGCAACATCGAAATAGATGTATTTTCAATCTTTGACCCTATTTAAGTATCAGATTGATACCGGCATATGATGAGAACTGTCTCGAGGCTCATGGCATATACTTCATCTCTATGTTATTGATTCTCCTAGATCCCGTGAAGATGTGGCCAGTCCCAAAACCTATGCAATGCAATGTGGTATTCCGATTACCCCTCATGTTCTTCCCAAACTCCATGCTATCTATGCTTTGATAATCCCGAGTCCCATTAATATTCATTTCCGTTCATTGTTGACCACTCATTCTGGTCTCTGACCACAGCCCATCGATTATTTGAAAGACTGCGGTAACAGCTTGCATTACCCCTTCATCAACATCTTGTCCCCCCAACTTCTGTTGGATCTTGTCGGGATGCCACCGGACTCTTTCTACCTTCAAGGTCTTTGTAAGCTGTAATTCGGTAGGTTCTCCAGAGGTTGGCGCGTGTAAGAAAAATCTCCTGATGTCCTCCTTTTGGACATCTTTTTTACTTCCACTTTCGACTGGCCAAGGTATGGATGCAACTGCAACTTTCGAAGAATTCTTCCCAAGATCTTCCCATTTCTTGATGTAGTTATCCCATTTTTCGTTCCAAACTTTCTTGGACCTCCTCTCCTGGCCTCTCTTCAGACTCTCCTCAACCTTTCTTTGCAATCGTTCAGCATCTCTCTCTTCCTTCCTACCTTCTTGAGCCAACCGTTCTCGCTCTTTTTTGGCTGCTTCGCGCCGAGCCTTTTCCTCTATTAAATGTTGATGGGTCTTCTCATACATTTTACCTCTAACATATGCCGTGTATTCTTCGTCAGTCATCTGTTCTAGCTCGCCTGTAGGACCTTGCTTGACGTCGGGATATGTATGAATTGGTTGCCCATAAACTCCCTCCCAATACTGTGCAGCTTCATCGTCAGCCATCGCATCAAATAGACTTTCCCTGAATGCAACATCTGGGTCGAGATACTGATTGGAAGAGGTATTGGGGAGGTGCGTGTCATCGTAGAGGGATGGATCATCATTCGTGGCAGATTGCCTGCTTCGTTTTGAGCGATGGTGATGGCGGTGGCGCCTTTCCTCGCTATGGCTCTCTGACGGTGATTCATCCTCCCTATGCTTCCTCTTGAATCGAAATTTAGTTGGATGAGAGTTGGTCATATCTTCATTGGAGTTTAGTTGAACTTCTGCGTTGAGACAGTAAAATGATAAGTTCTGAATGTATGGTTGTAATATGAACAACTAAAATGAGCGTACTTGGATTCGTGATTGTATATACAACATCGCATCCTACGGTTTTGTCATCTTATTGAATGCCGCTAAAGTTCTTATCGATTGCCAGAGTGGATCAATAGCGTGATTGCCGCCTTACGGCATTTTATAGCTATGGAAAACGCGACCCATACCGTACATTATAATCCTGACATAACAAAATACCACTTCTTCAACATTCTACTATTCCACCTTAAATTACACAATGGGATTAAATAATGGTTTCAACGTATTTGGCGATGACGACTCAGATGAGGATACAAATGTCAATACTACTCCATTGACAAAACCTTCGAAACTTTCAAAGTCCTCGACCTCGAAACCCTTGAAACCCTCAAAAAAGCCGCCTATAAGTATGTTTGGCGACCTCTCGAGTTCGCTCACGTCGAAAAAACATGCCGAAACTGCAGAAGAACTTGATGCGAACATATACGATTACGATGCAGTTTACGATTCTTTAAAGCCAAAGAAGAAGGTAGTCAATGAGGAGGAGGAACGGAAGCCAAAGTATATGAGCAATCTTATTGCAGCAGCTGCAGTGCGAAAGCGCGATTCTACGATTGCCGAGGAGAAGAAACTCGCAAGAGAAAGAGAAGCTGAAGGAGATGAATTTGCAGATAAGGAGAAATTTGTCACATCAGCGTATAAGAAACAACAAGAAGAGAATCGCCGCATAGAAGAAGAAGAACGGTTGAGAGAGGAGGAAGAGCAAAGAAAGAATAAAGGCACGGGAATGACCAGTTTCTACAAAAACATGCTTGAGAAGGGTGAACAGAAACATGCTGAAATAGTAAAGGCTGCCGAGGAAAGGATTAAACAAGGCCCACAAGAAGATGTGACGGAGGACGAAAAAATGAAGACTGATGCAGATATAGCACGGGAAATCAACGAGAAAAAGGGAGGCACTATTGCAATCAATGACGAAGGTCAAGTTGTTGACAAGAGAGAATTACTCAAGGGTGGACTAAACATAATACCTAAAGCGAAACCAACGCCTAATCCAAATTCATCAAGAAGTGGAAGCTCAATGCCTGATCACAAGAAAGGCAATACATTTGTGGGAAGTGGAGGTGGAAAACAAGCTATGCGCGAACGACAATCACGAATGATGGAAGCACAATTAGAACAAGCTACCAAACGAGCTTTGGAGGAGGAGGAAGAAGAAAAGCAGAAAGTAGAGAGAGCTTCTAAGAGTCGAAAGACTGAAGGCGATATTATGAGTGCCAAGGAAAGATATCTTGCAAGAAAGAGGGAGGCGGAAGAAGCAAAGAAGAAAGCATCTCAATAGAAACATAATATATAATACCCGAATCGAAATCAGATCAAATCACATCTCATGGCCATAAAGATCTCCATTTCATTTATAGTGGTGTTGTTTCCAATTCCTTGCATTTTATGCCCTCCGTTTCCAGAGACGTGGTGACCCATTCATAGTGTACAAGAGTATAATACACTCCATCATAATAGCGTTCCATACCAAATCACGGCTCATTGTTGTGATATCCCGCTCTAGCATGCTCTAGCACCTCATCACTTCATCATCACATAACCCCCTCCCACTCAATAATATCACTCCTTCCCGTGGTCACCTTTTCTCTTCCCTACCCTCCCTCACTCTTCCTCTACCCCTCTTCTACAATCCCAGCCCAAATCAAAATCTAAAACATACCCCCCGTCGCTCCTCCACTCGTCGACTCTCGTTGCAATCTCGCAATATATTGTTTGCTCACTGTATTCCACGCTTGCATGTATTTTTCCATGCATTGGGTGAAACAAGTGGTTTCGCCGCTGCTGAGAGAGGTACCGGGTTTGGGGACGCATTTCTCGAAGCAGTGTTCGTTTACTTTCTGGATGGATGGTTAATTTGTGAATTGGAAGAGAGTAGGGGGAAGTGTCGTGAAGAAGGGAGGGGAGGAGAGGGAAACTAAAGGAAAGAGGAAAGAGAAAATATTTACCTCGATCAATTGTCTAGCATTGGTCATAGCAGCTTCCTGACGAACTTGATTCATAACAGCAGCTTTTGGGTCCGAGGAGGCGAATGCATTGTTGAGAGAATCCATGATGGCGTTTATATGTGTATGTATATATTTCTATGTGGAAAGTGGCGCTTTGAGGGGATTGAATCTCAAATTGTGTATGGAAAAGAGGTTTGGAGTTTCGTTGTTGAATTTTAAACTTAATATCCAGAACCTCAATTTTTTAATCGATCTCAAAGCATGACGATGGACTATCAAATTCACCACTCGGCCTTAGGCAAGTACCGACTGGTAGCTATCATCCCTGGTTAGAAATATACAGGGTACACAGGGTCAATATCCACTACCAGTCCGTACTCTAGCACTAATTTCCAGGGCTACAAGCACCCCAAACGCCCGTCACGAACGCTACAGCAGTACCGGAATCCCCCAATCACTGACAGTTATTCTCCCAATTCAAAATAACAGGGATCTCAGCTTAACCTTGAAATCCCCGACGCCAAATTGTTCACAGACACAGACACAGATAGGAAACCTTAAGGCCAGCTAACAATTTAATCTGACGACCTCGGAATTCGATTCACGATACTTCGTAGTTCCTAAAACTATTTCCTTTCTCAACATCCTATTCTGATTTTCTGGCAGAAGGATCTCTCTTTTTCTCCATCTACTTTACATTCCTCTTTTTCTTTCCTTCGTCCAGTTGAAGACTCGATTGGAATCTGGTGAAAGTATAAGCCTTGAAGAATACTTGTGGATAGGGACAGATTGTACAGGACGCAATGTGGTTCCCCAAATCATTGTCGGCGCTATGGCTGGCTTCTTGTGTTATGGCAGCTGGAGATACGCAGACTACGAAGCTGAGTGAGGACGGAATTAGGAGTATACCGGTTTGTTTACTCGATTGAATTACTATTGAAGGAAGGGTTGACTGACTTGTTGGAATAGCTTCGAACACATTCGCTGAATCAGGTCAGTAGTTGAACAAGAGGCGCATTACATAGGCTTGAGGATTTCGCTGATTTGGATTTGGATTAGCCATATTTGGATTCGGATATGCAAAGTAGATGGTTCGATTTTGGTGGAAATACCATTGTGAGAGCAGACAAGTATGCATGCGCGCCAAGTCCAGGACTAGTTGGGGATAGATGGGCTGATGTGGAGGGTATAGGTACATACGATTGACATATGATCATCCGTCTTCTTCAGGATGGCTCTTCTCAAGAGTTCCACTAACGGCCACAAACTGGGAGGTATGAATAGATTCGCCTTCACTCCCCTCGGTGTAATCTAACCACAACTCTTCTGCAGATCGAGGTCGAATTCAAGGTCCACGGTCAAGGCAACCTCCACGGTGATGGTTTCGCCATGTGGCTCACCAAACAACGCGGCATTCAAGGCGACGTCTTCGGTTCCGTTGACAAATTCGAAGGTCTTGGTATTTTCTTCGACACCTACAAGAACAATCGTCCCGGAACCGTCTTCCCCTACGTAATGGCCATGGTCGGCGATGGCAACACCGCCTATGACAAGAGCAACGACGGCAAAGACCAAGAATATATGGGCTGTTCCGCACGAGGTCTCCGCAATGCGAATGTCCCAACTAAAGCCAAACTCACCTATTTCCAAGACAAATCTCTCAAACTCGAACTTCAATACAAGAAGGAGGATCAATGGGAACTCTGCTTTGAAACTTTCGAACCACCTACCATTCCATCCGTAGCCTATCTCGGATTTTCTGCCGAAACGGGTGAATTGAGCGATAACCATGATATCATCAGCGTCAACACGAATAATTTGTACGATACCAACACCCACAAGAATAAGTATAAGGATTCGCAACCTAAGCCTGAAAATGGAAAAAGTAGATCTCAAAAGGGACAGGGTATTTTGAACAGAAAGAAGAAGCCGGCCGGAAGCTGGAGTTGGTTCTTTGTTAAGTGTATCATCGGATTAGTTGTTCTGGGTGGTGGTTATGTCGGATATACGGCTTGGAGAACTTCGCAAAGGAGAAGTCATCGATTTTAGATGATGGAGAATGAAGGTCATGGTACTTGAGTATTCAAATCTGATCGGATTTGAATTACAAAGTTGAAAGTGAGCGAAATGAACACAAGAACGCGGGAAACAGTGGACAAGGAACGAGAATCGAACCCCGAATTCACATGCAAATGAGATGAAGATCGATCTCTTTACTTACTTCTATTGGTGGGTTGATACCGATAGGAGAGGTCGAGAGGAACCCGGGATTTCAAATAGTTTATGTAGTATACCAAGGAAAGCAAGACAGAAAACCAGTATTCAGTATGGGAAATGCAAGGGAATGAAAAGATTCTGATGATTGGGGTCTCAAAAAAAAAATATGTGATGAGTGATGTATAATCCGTAAAACGAAATGTTTTGTATAGCCTGGTGTATGTAACGTACCTACCCAACAGGAGATGGGCGGGCTACGTAGGGGGTTGATTGTAAGCGAGAATATTCAGGGGGATGCTAGTTTAGATACTCATCCAACGATGTACGAGTAGAAAGATGCTTAATGGTAGGTAAGTGGGTAGGTAACTCGATCATGGGAATCAGAATGCGTCTTGTCAGATGCAGAAATGAAACACCCTCTGCTTGGTTATATGTATATATGTGTGTATATGTGTGTATATTGTTATTGTAATATATCCACATACTCCAATTCACGAATTCACGGATGCGCAGTTGAGAAATCACAGAGATCTAGATATTCTATGATAGAGATTAATAAATAGATGTATACATAATAAATCCATCCATCATCTTTTCCACATCTGCATCTTCATCTTTATCCATCTACCCACTACATACTACATACCACATACTCCAGCTCCTGACAGTGCTCTTGACCAAAAAATAACAAAAGCTCTTGTAAATTCATAGAGAGGAACTTCTTCGCGAGCTGCATCTACCTATCTATGACTCTATATCCCTCATTGAGCGTATCTCCTCGAATATATCTCAGAGAGCGAAACTCGCACAATCAGATATCTACTGACTCGCTGCCTATGAATCTGAGCGAGGAGAATCTTCTCCAGAAGGCGCGACATTCTGATTATGAGACTCCTCCCTCTCCAAGAGCATAAGAGTCTGTGTATTCACCACCCGTGTAAAATTTATGTAGATCTTCGTCACACCACTCGTATCACATAGAGAAGGATACTTATCTACTTAGCTACAGAACCATTGAGTATATTCATAGTAACCAAGTCTGAGTCTAAGCATAACTAATATTTCCAACCGTTCGCTCGCCAATTACGAACCTGAGAGTTTGGAAATAAAAATACATCGAATCTCGCAACTAAGGATCTAATATCCATCGAAGCCCACCAAAGACACACAATAAACTCCTCAAATACCCTCCAAAATAAGACCCCATCCCATGGTATGCTAATATCCTATAAAAACGCCTATCATCTATTCATAATGCGTACCCATCTCGTTTTCCATTCCCATCGCCCCAATTCCTTATCGAGAGGTAAGAGCGTTGCTCATACCCATTAACGCCATGCCAACAAATGCAAAAGAAATGCACAAACTTCTATTGTGATTCAGACCCAGGCACTCCGCAAACAGATGCAATGCGACACTAGCCATGATACCCCCGGTGATACCAAACATACATCCATAAGCTACAATATTAGGCGCATGACCTTCCCGTCCAGCAATTGAAAACCATGCGGCTGCAATTGCGGCACCGGCTGGCTGTGACACACCTCCGAGGAAAGAACTCCAGAAGATAGCTCGTGGTCGGCTACCAAGTGCTAGGTATAATGGTAGAGCCATTGCAAATCCCTCAGTGATGTTATGAACAAGTAAAGCTAAAAAGACAGAAACTCCAAGTTCGGGATTTGCGTGATTTGTAGCAAATGTAATAAAACCTTCGGGTAATTTATGCAATCCAATAGCTATACTTGTTTGAAGACCAATATCCATAAATGCATTTTCGGGAACATGGTGATGATGTTGTTGAGCTTCAATGTCAGAGTCATGACAACTGGGAATTTCTGTTTCGGAAATAGCCCTACGTAATTGTGCTGAATTATCGGGAGCCTCTTCTCCTTCTTCTGGCAATGTGAAAGAATGAGATCGGGTTGACAAGGTGCCTGTGGGAGTTCGCGCCGAATAAGGAACTTTTGTATTCATGGGGGTTTTTAAGCATTCTCGCCCACAAAGGTCGGAATACCCAAAACACGGTCCACTCTCATCACAATTGGCCTTCCTATCCTTTACAAAAGACATCACCCTGTCATGAACTACCATGAGCGATGGTCGCCTGGTTAGATTATGGGATTGGCGGCGATTGCTTGGCTGAGAATCTTTTGGTGGTGCAAGACCTTCTATTGAATGCTTTCCATTTTCTCCGACATGTGAAGCGAGAAGTGGTGTAGATTCCGTCATCGCACTGTTTCCTTGATTGGCTGCTGCATGAGAACTCGATTTTGATAATGGAAGGTGATTATCATGGTGGCCATCAAAGCCATCGAAGGTTTGGTGATTGTGGTTGTGGCTGTGGTCGTGGTCGTGGTCGTGATGCGTTGCATCTTGATTGTGAGAATGATCGCAATGTGAGACATGCGAGGGGATAAATTGATGCATGAGCCTCGAAACAATTTGTATGCCAATAAATCCTGCAGCGAAACAAGCCAAAAGAGTCCATGCAGCAGCTTGAGCTGTATAACCACCCTCCATTAGATATTTTTTCGATGATGGGAGCATACTATATAACGAAGAGAATATCTTTCAAAAGAAATATGTAGTTAGTAAAGAAGTAGACAAATGGTTGAGAGATAGAACCTACCATTACACCAAAACTCAAACTTAGAGACGCAGCTAGGAAAGCATTGTTATCTTGTATCCTGAAATTCTTCTTGCTGGGGATATATCTAATCAATAGATCTATGCATATTATGCAACTACCCATAACACATGCTAACCATTGTTGTTAGAGTTGATCAAACATCGGTCCATGAACCATTGAGTATTATACTGACCTATTCCACTGATAATAGCCATAATCCACCCTCTCATATCATTATCCAACGAGTCTGCCTCCATACTGACGATTTGTGATGCCAACTTTTTAATGATATATTCTCGCTTCCTCAAACTCTCTCTCCGTCTGCGGGGTTGATATACAAGTAAGAACTCAACAAAGTATCCAACACAAGGTGGCACAAGGGCGAACTAGGTCAAACCTGACTGTATGGGTTGTCGCAGGTTATCCCTGATGTTGTTGCAGAAGGTAGTATTGACGGTGGTATTGTTGCATGCGTTGTCGCAGTGGGATTAATGTAGATCAAAGTGATGTAGCTGTGAGTGTCCAACTGATTCAAAGTACAGTTCAGAAGGAGACAAGAAAAGGTCTCGGAAGGAGCAAGAGTATATTAGGATTTTAGGTGAATCTGAGACCGGCGAAGCAAACAATCTTTGAAGGAGGTAACAAAGTAATGGTGCAAGAGAGTGAAAGGGCGAAAGAGTTAGAGAAGATGAACAGAATATTCACAGGTTTTCGCGGCTATAGGAATGAATTATCTGATGTCATAGGTTACTGTACAATAATGAAGAAGAAGAAGATGATGATGATAATCGAATAACAATAACAAGAGCAATAACAATGTGAATAATGATAAGAATGAATACACGATGAATATTATTAAGCTACTCGACCTAGTGTCAGTAGGAAGAATAATAAAATTGCCTAGGAAGACCTTGATGGCTTGGTGCAAGAAGACCCGAATTCAATTTTCTCCAAAGGGTTAAATCATGTAAATCATAAATGCATTCATCCATCTTTTCTGATTGGTCAATAGACCTAAATTCACATCAAATCCCGAGTTTTTAATTCGTCATTGAGAAGAAAGAAAATATAGGCAAGGCAGAGTCTTATGAACCTTAATTCGATCCTTTTAACCATCAAGGTTCTCATATTGATCCCGCCACACCGCTATCCTTGACAAATGGTCCCACGTGATATCGATGTTGATTGGCCATGATGTCTACCTAGCAGTATTTGCTTCTTCTTTGTTTTGTTGTTCAAGTCAAAATTTGATTGTTTGTAGGATGTTGTTCAGATAAGACAACACCTACCAGTTCAAGAACGAGTCGCAGTAGCGCAGAGGCATATACTGGCGAAAAATACCACTTACATTGATTGGAAGAATTGTACTTCGGTTTCTAATCCTAATTTAAGGAGTGCTACAGCTATATTCTACTCGAGCTCACATGATCGAAATGCATTACCCAGCATCCTTCGAGATCAGTTGTCGATTCTCTGAGTTAGGTGTAGAGATATCCTGAACATATTAGACGAGTATTCTAGAAGGAATTCGTAAAAGAATTCAATGTGATGTAAAGTCGAGAAGTGTGTCGATTTTATAAGGGTTTAATGTCCTGGCAAGACTCGAGTCTTTGAACGTATTCCTACATGATCTCAGTATGATACCTGTCTAGATCCCAGATCCCCAGCTTGATCTAGACACCAGGAGTCCTTAGGCGAGGTCCTCAGGGGGGGCTTCAGTATCCAATTATTAGTATTCCCAAGACTACCGTCTGAATGATTGATCCAATTGCTCATATCATGTAGAGTTCCCGGACTAAAACTACCATCCAAATAATTCAGTATACTCTAGTCGCTTAGACGTGTGAATTGTGACATCGAAATGACTCGACATGAATCGTATATTCCTGGTGATGTGACTTTGATATCATAGTATTTTAGTGACTCGAAAATGTCCCGAAGTAACGCATCTGAAAGCTTCAACCTGCCTCCAGAGGTGCTCAAATAGATCCGGTTCCCCCCATTTGGACTTACGTCCTTCTTCAACAAACATCATCAAAATTCGTAACCAATACAATAAACACTTTTCATATCATTCGACTTCGAATCACAATAACCTCAATAATTAACCTAGCTTAAACAACCAACCATCCTTTCAAAATCAGACCTCGAACTCTGGTTGATAACCTGTCTCTTGACACTTCGTTAGATCCCACCCTTCTTCCGCTCAACTTCAAAGCTTAGCAGCATGTCCACTTCCAACGAACAATCTACACCTGCGACGACTACCACGCATCCTGTATCCCAAGCACTCAGGTTCTGGCAGGGCGAAAAGAATCCTCATCCAGATGTACACGGCTTGTTTAAAACACATCTAGATTGGAGAGCACTCAGCTCCATGCGAAAGGAAGATAGAGAAAATTTGGTGATTAAACGTGCCAACTTTTTCTATCATTGTTTTCCACTAACCCATGCCATTCCTGGAGCCGTCCGGAAACAGCTTTACGGAAGACGACAGGAAGCTGCGAAGGCTGGAAATTTGGGCAAGGAAGGAATTGATCGACCAGGAATACTGCCACTCGAGTATGTTTTTGATATGTTCAATTTTGTTTTCAACTAACGTCATTTTCTTATTAGTATCTTGAACGCAAAATACAAAAGAGATGACATTGACCGGATGATGATAAATTACCAATTCGTAGCGCCATTGGAACTTCAAATTGAAGAAGTCAAAAAAGGCTTTCAAGAGACCATTGCAAAGTTTGAGGAAAGTGAGCTCTGTAGACGATTCGAAAGCTTTTTCGAGAAACTGTGCAGAGATGGCAAGTTTGACAAGATTGTTGCGTTTGGAACTGGCCCGATCGCTGTAGTCGACGGCGGAAATGCATCATTTCGAGTGAGAAACCAGGTTCAGCATGCAAGCATGTTAACAATTCGACGAGTCTGGGAGCACTACAACCCAGGAAAGAGACTTTCAATCTACCTTCAAGATCCTGCGTACAACGAACATTGCGTAGAAGTTGCATACGAATACAACATGAGAATTCTCGACGGTGATTTTGGTCATCAAATGGGCTGGCTCAAAATTGACAAATCGACCTTGGTTATGTCATTTGCTTGCACTTTCCCTGTTCAACGATTGGTATCTGAAATTGCAAGGCCAGCAGCTCTTTACTTCACGTGGGGGATTGTAAAAGAATTTATTGAATTTAAAGAAGATAATGGGGACCGTGTTTTCTCTTCCACACTAGCACTCCCTGACGGAGGCGTTGTTGATATTCCAGGCTTGGGAGCGTAAGTCATAAGATTTCCACTGTGTTTTGTTCAACAATCTAACGTGAATCGTCTTAGAACTCAGCCAGTTTGGCCGTCATTTGACACAGAGTATAGTGAGAAATCATTCAATGTCGAGGGACTATCTGTTGGACGTGAGGATGATGATCCCAGTACAAAACCGACATTCGAAGGATATAGGGGCTTCTCTCATCTTGGATCTTGCCCTAAAATGTATATTCGGAAGTAGGGCTTGGAAAAGTCCCAGAAACTTTGTACATGATCAATTTCTTAACACGTTGTCTTTAGCATAATATGCTTGTAGGGAGTCAAGAGGATAGACTAAAAAAATTGCATGGCTTTCCATAAACATCAGCTTATTCATTCATACACTGCTTGTTCGTAAGAGAAAAACTGACCGAATTTGACCACTAGCGAAGCCCTTCAATAATCCGATTGTTCCATTTCAATTCAGAGAATGAAAAGTTAAAGATTTAAATGGTATGATAACTGAAAAATTATTCATGTACTTTATTCATACCAACAACTCTTAATAAAGAGACCCAAAAGTTGCATGACTTTCCATAGACATTGTTTCTTCAAACACTGCGTGATTGTTGTAGATCCAACCCTCGGAAAAACTCTGGGTTCCGAGACAGTTTTCCGAGACACGTCAGGAAAGTTCAACTGACATCAACACGAAACCTCGTTCTAAAATAAGATAAAAGCTCACGCGGAAGTATCGACATCGTGATCATAGACTCACATATTGATCACCCCCAAAATAAATCCCATATATAATCTTCCTCTCCCATTCGGTACGAGCTCTCGTCAAGCTCGATTCTCTCTGTCATGTCCAAAACTACCTTAGCAATTATAGCAGGCGTTTCTGCAGCCACAGGCGCCGGTATAACCGCTGCCATGTATTCTACACGATCTGAAAAGAAAATTCAAGCAGCCGCAAGCTCAACAGCAGTCACAGCATCCTCTACTTCCTCCGCGCATTCACCAGTACCTCTACCAATTGGCCAATCTATAATCAAAGATGTCATAGCACCAGTCGACCCCGCAGGTCTTTTTCAATATGGATTTCCAGGACCCGTCGCAGATCTAGCGACGAGAAATGCGCTGATATCCTCATTCGATCGAAGACTTCGAAATCCTTCTTGGGTTGCAGAACACATAACTCCCGCTTCACTTGCAACTCAAAACGGCGATCGCAAACATTCCTATTTTGTCGAAGACCCCTCTGTCCCCGAAAAATTCCGCGGTAAATTAAAGGACTATGCTCGATCTGGCTACGATCGCGGACACCAAGTACCTGCCGCAGACGCAAAATGGAGTCAAGAAGCCATGAACGATACCTTTTTCCTCACAAACATGTGTCCGCAAGTAGGAGAAGGATTCAACCGCGATTACTGGGCGCATTTTGAGGATTTTTGTCGCAGACTTACAACTCGATACCCAAGTGTGAGAATCGTTACTGGACCTTTGTATTTACCGAAACGGGATCCAGCCGATGGGAAGTGGAGGGTTACTTATGAGGTCATTGGAAATCCACCAAATATTGCTGTACCGACACATTTCTACAAGGTTATCTTTGCGGAAGATGGTACTACAGCAGGTCCAGTAGCAGTCGGTGCATTTGTGTTACCTAATGCGAGGATACCGAATGAGAAACCGTTGACGGATTTTGAGGTACCTGTTGAGATGGTGGAGAGGGCTAGTGGGTTAGAATTCATGACGAAGTTGCCGGCTCAGAGGAGGAAGAGATTGTGTGATGACATGATGTGCGCGTTAGTTATTAAAGATTACTCGGATAGACAGAAGGCATTTGCAAAGGATAGTGCACCAAGGAGGACGAGTCCAAGACACACTTCTTAGATTTGGCATGTAATGGGCGGGGATTTGCAGCATATATACAGCATCGGCGAGCATTTCTGGTGGGATTGCATAGCATGGCGTTTGCTTTTTCTAAAGATAGTTTTCTTTTTTTCGAATTTGTGTTGCTATTCATATACCATAACATTAATACCCTTCAATTGCATCACCAAGCAGATTCAAACTTTGACAAGAAACACATCTCCTTGTTATTGTGGGTACACATATGTGAATAAAGACAATTCAAAATTATCAATGTGACTACATTACAATTCGCCCAAACGCCCCATGCTTCATTTCGCCCGAAAATGCTATATTCTGGTATACAGTCCGAGTTTCACTCCCCAGATATCAAATCCTCACTATCGTGCCTGTCTAAATTTTCCCTGTCTTTGCATCGCTTGTAAACTTTCTTCTTGGCTTGGCAAAGGTCCCCGCTTTCTAATTCCACCGCTACCACTTAATAGATCTGTACTATCTAAACCAGGTATTGGCATACCAGGAGGAGGTGGAGGAACAACGAAGCCAGGCGGGAGTTGAAAGTTTGGTGGGAGCATTGGTGGTGGGGGTGGCATGCCCGGTGCTCCTGGAGGAGGCAAACCAGCCTTCATCATAATTGCCAAGGTATTGGCATCTATATTTCCAGGTAAAGGTGGAGGTGGCATATTACCTCCACTGAGCATAGGTGGAGGTGGGGGTGGGGGAACACGATTCATACCAGGGATAATTCCCATACCAGGTAATGGCAGACCAGGTATTCCTGTGGCAAAACCGGGTACCTTTGCAGGCATTTTCTGATCGACCAATCCTTCCATTTCGTCTTCAGCTTCTTGATCTTCTTCCTCTTGACGTTGGCGTCGCCCGCCGCGACGATCATAGGTTCCTTGCGCCTCGGCAGCTGAGTCACCAATGTGATAGCGGTCTTTGAATGTATCTGCGTCACCAGGACGTACACGTGTCCAGAATCGAGTGATTCGATCATTGGAACCTGATGCTAAGATGTGACCAAGAGGATGCCAATCAAGTGACCAGATAGCGAATTCATGAGCGTAGGTTAATTTATGAGCTGGATAGATGGTTTGAGCCGGTGTAGTAGTGGGGTCTGGACTATCATAAGGAGCTATGGAAGGTTCCGTTCCAGCAGGATTGTTTGGTTCATCTAGTAGGTAGTGGAAAAGAGACCCATCAGCACCACCAGTGCTCAAAAGCGAAGGGTGAATTGGATGCCATGCTAGGGTAGAGATATCTTTATCATGGCCTTTGAGCAAACATACATCGCGCATCATTCGCAAGTCGAATACTCGTGCGGTTTGGTCTCGAGCTGAAGTGGCTAAGCAGTGGCCTCGTACTGGTTCAAAAACGGTTTTTGTGATTGTGTTCTTATGTCCATGGAGAGTCGTCAGACATCGGCCACTGCGCGGATCCCATAACTTGACAAGATGATCTTTTGATCCAGAAACGAGTAATCCCTTAGTCGGATGCCAGTCAACACTTTTCGCGTCCCATCCATGCCCAGAGAGAATAGACTCCTCAACACCGCCAGCAAAATCGAAAATCTTTAGCTTAGAGTCATCCGAGGCCGTGACAAACTTTGAGTCGTTTGGACTAAATGCAAGATCTCTTATAGGGTCATCATGTCCTTGAATGACTTTGACATTGTTGAAATTCGGTTGCCAGTATTTGATCACTCCATCATGATCAGCTGATATCAACCAGTCATCACTATGAGAATAAGACAAAGCGCGAATAGCAACATCATGTGCTTGCATAATTGTCTCGAAGTTGAAACCTGCGCCATTCCATAAAGTAAATTCTCCACTACTGGAGGCTGTGAGTAATCGTCGACCTTCTGGTGTCCATCTTACCACATTCACGGGGTGCTTGATTTTATTAAGTGACGAATGTAAATGCCTCCCTGGAACCGAATCTGCTGCATTATGAATTCTTGCCAGCGGCGGCAACATCTATAAATAATTAGACCAAAAGCATCCAAATTAGCCTATGCGACTAGTTTAAGAATACTCACATCTATCATGTAACTTGGACTGGGTCTTTCCATTTCACCTTGGTAACCACCTTTATACCTTGGCTGACGATTACGCATCCAATGAACCATAGTAGAGCTATAATCCGTGACGGGACCTATATAGAATGAGTAAATCAAGACTTTCCAAGAAACGAAAAGATATAGATGAGCTTCCCAGCCTGCCCTAATCGACAATTTAAAATTCCAAAGTATTGTACTTACGACGACCCCTCCCTCTCACGAAGTCTCTTTCACCACCCCCCTCTTCCTGTCCTCCATCGTCTCTTCTTCCTCTTCCTCTTCCTTCCCTTTCTCGATCCCGTCCACCTCCATACTCTCGAGGTTCGTATGCCATTTTTATCAGTGCATCATTTCCTTCAATAATACTTGATCAAACGACTACTTTCTTCTTCGGCGAGGTCCGTTGAGTTTGATTTGGGATCATGTGTTTGGAACTTTCGAGGACTAGGTGAATAAATAAAGCTAAGTCACAGAGGTCATGCTTTCAGAAAATGGTCGCGACTTTGACACTTGATGAACAAGGATTCGCGATGACACGGAACGGAACAATGATTTATCGACGAATCTGCTTAGTAATCAAGCTGGTAGCCTCTGGTATCTCCACATGGGCGATAAGGGCGATAAGGGCAAGGCTCATGAGAAGGATAATTTGGTGTAAAATTACATGCATACTGGGAATGCCATTGCCATTCTTGAGGTATGCTACGCTATCTTCACCCTCTCACGTCTTGTGCTTGACTCTCTCCAGATCCGTCCAAATCTTCGAAGACTGTGTTTGCCATTATTGATACTTGAGTTCAATTTGAAGATCTAGATAAATACTCAATTTTCGACCGTCCTACACCTTGGTAAGACCGCTACGATACTCGTATTTTATCAATTAAGTTTGCGCCGCTATTCGACGGTCTTGGGTCTATCATCACTCATTCTCAGCCAATAATTGACCTCGGGAGGGGTTTGGCCAGTGAGAGAGGAATTTACCTTCATTACGGCTACAATAATTGTCGACGGTAAATATTCAAACACCTTTTCTTTCATTACACTTCCATTGATCAATTGATTCTCCTATTTTCACAGCTTCAAATATTGTTCAAATTATCGGGTAATTGCGCATATTGCTTGTTCATCCTTGTGCTTCCCCTTGGTATCTCCCCTCGTTCTCGTGGAACATTGTTTATCAATCATTCCAGAGATACATTCATTACTCGGTACATGTTCAAATACTAGCAGCTCGAATTTGAATACGGCTCTATGTGATCTTCGCAATGATGACCTCTGAAAATGCCACAGTAACTGGTACGGAGAGTGTGGCAGACATTTCTCCAACCATCAGGCGATCTACACTTTCACATGTCAATGGTGCACACGGAAAGAAGAGGGCCAACATCAGCATCGCGGATTTCCCCAAACCTCTCACCCAACAACATACCTCCGATTCACTTCGAAAATATACACAAAAGAAGTATAGACATGTCGCTGCTGTTCATTCTAAACCTCGAACATCATGTCTTAGCCATGAAAGCGATGCGGCACCTAGCTTTCTTGGATTTAGAAATTTGATGGTGCTTGTTTTACTAATCTCAAATCTGCGATTGATGTTGGAAAATATTCGAAAGGTATATCTCTTCCCAGTCATATATTTCTCAATTGAAAGAAAAATTGGGTGCTTAAGAGGGAAAAGGGGGGCCACGAAGTTTTGTCTGAATGCCTCGTTTCTCTGCATATTCTGACAGCGCCGATGTTATGATCTTTAGCTTGGCTTTCACATTCAAATACTGGTTTCATCGAATGCAGCTAACAATTCTTGATAGTATGGAGTTTTGATATGTTTAAGATGTCACGATTATCGCAGACAAGATCTCATTCTAGGGGCTGCTCTTTACTTTATAATTCCATGCCATCTTTTTGTCGCCTACGTTGTCGAACTCGCTGCCGCGCAACAAGCAAGAGCATCATTAAAGGGAAGCAAGAAGAGAGCTGGAACTGCCACACCAGGCGGTAGCTATATTGCTACCCAAGCCGAACATGAGAAGTTCCATTCAACTTGGAAAGTAATAGCCTGGATACATGGACTGAACATAACGCTTTGTCTACTCATCACATCCATAATTGTTTACTTCTTCATACATCACCCCCTAATAGGAACAATAACCGAGGCACACGCAATCATCGTCTGGTTGAAAACGTATAGTTATGCATTCACCTGCCGCGATCTTCGACATGCTTATCTCCACCCCTCTAGTAAAGAGGAAGATGCATTGCCAGAAATATACAACAAATGTCCCTACCCACAGAATATCACGCTGAATAACTTGACATACTTTTGGTGGGTTCCAACATTGGTTTACCAACCCGTATATCCTCGGACAAACAAGATTAGATGGGTTTTTGTAGGTAAGAGGTTGGCAGAAGTTTTTGGTCTGAGTATTTTCATATGGGTTGCTAGCGCACAATATGCAGCCCCTGTCCTTCAGAACTCCCTAGACAAGATGGCATCTCTAGATCTTCCTTCTATCCTCGAACGACTGATGAAGTTGTCTACGATATCCCTGGTCATATGGCTAGCAGGATTCTTCGCGTTATTCCAATCTTTTTTGAACGTTCTTGCAGAGGTTACAACATTTGGGGATAGGAACTTCTATGATGATTGGTGGAACTCGCCCAGCGTGGGAACATATTGGAGAACTTGGAACAAGCCCGTTTATCAATTCATGAAACGACATGTTTTCTCGCCCCTCGTAGGCAGGGGCTGGAGTCCATACTCAGCGAGTGTTGCGGTATTTACATTCTCCGCTATTCTACATGAATTGATGGTGGGTGTACCGACACATAACATGATTGGTAGGCTCACAGTGTGATTTTATGCTGTCATCTGCTAACAATCTTTAGGCGTTGCATTCATTGGCATGATGGCACAGCTACCACTCATTGCTATCACGACCCCATTAGAGAAAATGAACGGCATAAATGGCAAGATTATCGGAAACTGTATCTTTTGGGTATCTTTCACCCTGGTTGGACAACCCCTTGCTGCATTACTTTACTTCTTCGCGTGGCAAGCTAAATACGGGAGTGTTAGCAAGCAGGTCAAATAATGGCGGTCCATATCACAGAAATGTTGGCTGTTTTGACAGCGCCTTCAGTCTTTAGAAACAAATAGTATGAAAATTCTATGAGCTTGGCGGCTCCCAGCACGTGTAACTACTACACTTACTCTTTCTGTAGCAATTAGACACAAAAATAGAGAAGCCACAATGCGTGGCTATCATTAATATGGTACAGAATTTTTATCCCAAAATACTAGTGGTGAACAAGCATTCCCTTTGAACTACCCAGTTGATGCAAGCCATAGAAATCATTCAAATCTTCCCTTACAAGATCAGTGAATTCGCCCACTTTCCATCATCTCTGAACGCGATCGGCGAGTGACGCAAAATACAGGAAACCCTCTAAAAATTGATATACTACCATCCCATACGTTTCCGAGCATACAATTGATTGTTTACATTCAATATGAACATGAATAAATTTCAAGATTTGCATGCATTACACTGTAAATCTAGATGAAAGGGATCCCCACCCATGAGACCTGCCTATACTGCACATACTCATCCCCAAAGAACTTGATCAACAAAGCCTCTTCCCCCTTAATTCTCCTATTGAAAAACATCCACAGAACAAGCGTATATCCCCAAAAACAATAGAAATTTCCCAAAACCATTTGTGTACCCAATCCCCACCAAAAGAATCCAAAATACGAGGGATGGCGCAACCATGCATATAAACCAGTTGTGACAAGTGTATGAGAACGCGATCGAGTGAACTGAACAATGTGATTAAAGCTCCTGCCAGCCTGTACCATGGCTACTGATCGGATCGTTTGGCCTACGATTATGAGGATGAGACCGAAAACGAGAATGATATTTTGGGTTCGAGAACTGAACAAGGATATGGAAGGGGGATATTGTAGACCAAAGATGCGGTATGAAGATCCATTGGGGAAAAATGTATTGGTGATGAGAAATTCTGTGACGGCAGCGCTGTGCGCAATGTTGTATGCAGAACCGTTGCCGCTAAAGAGGAAGGAGGAGATAGATGCTTCCGGGGTATTGTATCTCGCTGTGGTCCAAAACTCGAGGAAATGGAAGATTGCGAGAGAGGAGATGAAGAAGGGGATGCGCCAGAATATCGAATTGGTAACGAAGAAGAGGTAGAAGGTAGCGAACATAGAAATCGTAAGGACGATACCGACGAGGAAAGATCGCAATGCGATTCCAGATAGAGATTTAGGTTGACCGGGAAAGAACTGCTTCTCGAATTGAGTGATGGCTTCGTCGATGCTGGGTATCTCTGCGAATTGTTCTCGATTGGGTCCGACTCGCGCTCGAGGGGCAACGCCGCCGTTCTGTATTACGTCCCATGGACGTCGACGAGTTGCGCCGGGTGTGCTCGCTGTGCTCTTTAGTTGTTCGGGTGAGCTATGCGCTGACGCTGATCCACGAATGACATTAGTAGTATCATCTGTAGACATGATTATGATAGCAATAATCACAAAGATACTAGTCGCAAACAATCAAATGAGTGCAATGGAAGCTTGAAGTTGGAAGCTTGATGCTTGGTGGTTAATTCAATCTTTTTCAGGCTGGGTTAAGTGATATATAAGCACGGAGATCCAGTATCGATAACTAAACAGAAACGAAATTACGAAAAATTATAAGAAATGGGGACAATCAAACACGATTCCCTTTATTCGTGCATAACCTTTTTGACTGCCTCTTCATATTGTCCTTGGTGAAGAATGAGATGAAATTTCGAGGGGAGTTTGTTACCTTTTTCTTAAAGGTTCTTGGAAACCTCGATATCCATTGGTACTTCCTAGTCAGTTTAACAAAGAAGCATGTGACAACATTCCGTACAACAAAGTCTCACTACCTAGGTATCCTGACCGCTCAAATACCTCTAGATGTTTCTCAGATATAATCTACCTAGGTAATGATTCATTGTATATATATTCAGTAGAGAATTGGATGCTTGAGTTATGTATTCCTACCTAGTTACTATTCATTATGCTTTGTATAACGTCACTACTAATAATTAAGTATATATAAACTCCCCGAGTTAAGCTCAATGCCCCCTATGTACTCGAGGGTTCTCCTTTCCTGTGAAATAGCTAAGCCCCTTCTTTCAGCCACCCCCACCAAGATCTCGTATCTTCCGAGGACCGAATCTCGTAAGTAGATCAGGAAGGTATTCCGCATACGAAGTGCTGGAAACGCTTTCCAACTGTCAGGCAAAGTGGAGCTCTTGGGTTAGGTGAATATAGAGGGCTCGGCCGTAAGAAAGCTAAGACATGACATGCTCACTTAAGATCCAGTTTTGACAGATTTCGTCTCTGACCCAAACAATCCATTGATTGAACATCCTTTGACTACCTGTTAACATCACACTTCCACATCATAACCTAATCATGGAGGCCATTGACCATGTTGAAAATGAATCTAAGATGCTGAACGGGGAGCTCTATTATGCATTCGTACCAAACCTCATTGAAAAGCGAAATAGGTGAGACAAACAGGAATATATCACCCATTAGATACTCCATTGAACAGTCACTTCCTCGAATACAGCTGATAATTGATCTTCTATAAGATGCCATTGGGCTTGCAAAAGATTCAACAATGCCGCTGATGCCCCAAGACGAAAGCTGGTAGAGATGTGGAGAGAGTAAGCATTCATTTCTAGCTGAGTGGCAGTGCGAAACCTAACAATACCAGCATCATCAATGACAAGACTCCTCTTCCTCCAGTGGGAGCCACAGATGAAGAAGACTCCCTTATCCTAGGAGATGAACCATATATTGATGGCCCAATCAATGTAGACTATGGAATCAATCTGAGGTAGGCCTCAAACTCTGAAACCGCATTCTGAGAAAGTACTAATCCTCCACAGGATTGGCAAAGGAGTCTACATCAACTTTAACTGCGTATTTCTCGATACCTGCCTGATCACGATAGGAGCTCGTACTCTAATTGGGCCAGGTTGTTCGTTCTATGCTGCCACGCATCCATTAGACCCTTTCCTTCGCAATGGTATTAATGGCCCGGAACTTGGGGCACCCATAACAATTGGAGAAGACTGCGTACGTATTTTTAACAATGTTTGGCGCGATATCGATATTATTCATCAGCTCAATCCCTGTGTACTATTGATAGGTATCATCGATGCTAACACTTTCCCAGTGGTTCGGAGGCGGCGTTACAGTTTGCCCTGGAGTAACTATCGGTCGAGGTTGTACCATGGGTGCTGGGAGTGTCGTGACGAAAGATGTTCCCGATTTCCATGTCGTAGCTGGTAATCCGGCGAAAATTATCAAAAAGATCGAGCCGAAAGAACCAGATCCAAATCTCAAGTCCTGATTGCTCAGAGATGGATAGAGCTCCAGCTCAAAATTACTTCCATCTTGCAAAAGACGCATGCATCATCAAAATATTTGGTGCCTCATAGACCACCCTGTATTGAGAAAGAAGATATAATAAAGACTAATACATTGATCAATGCCCATATGAACGGAATCCATGTTGACATCTGAAAATATCCCGCATTGTAAATGGCACCGAGTCTAGGAGTGACAGAATTAGCAAGAAAAAGGGAGCTTCTACGTGAATCACGAGACAATACTCACATCAATCCAACTAAACTTCCCGCCAGCAAGGCTGTAATTCCACCTACTAAAGCGTACACCAGTGGTATTATCCAAGCATATTGCCAGGCGTTTTTCCCCTTTCCCGATTGCATTACAACGGCACAAGCAGCTGCGGCAATATGCGTGATTCCATACATAATGAGTGTCCATAGTAAAGTAAATCGCCAAATGTCATGAGCATAGTATAGGTAGTTTGGGACTCCAGGTTTGGCATGGAGAGGCCAGTAGAGTGATGGAAACGGCGGCGTGGAATAGTCAAGAGGTGCCGGATTATCGATTCGAGTACTGCCAACTTCAATTAGCATGACTATTCTTTGGAATGTCACAATGCGACTCACTTCAGAAGGGGCATAATTTATTGGGGCGAAAAGCCCATCGTAAGGTAACGAGATGTATGGAAGCTGTAGTCGTTTAACGCGATGCGACAGTGCAGTGTAACTCCAGAAATTATACTTTACAATTAGCCTTGTGAACCCTTCAGTACGCAACACAAGGCTGAAGTTATATACCTCGGCTGTTGAACTCCATTCCATCATTAACACATCAACCATCACATATCACCCTTAATATTTAAATATTATATATCAATACGAGCATCACAATGATTTGAAGTCCTGTCAAGATAATCAGAGTAGTTCAAGATGCCGGCAGATAGACTTCTTACGACTGTGTTACGCGCATACCAAGGCGTGCCTGACCCAGCCCAAACGGACAGAATCCTTGGGACAACTACCTCTCTACTTACCACTCTTACGAACCCTTTGAACATAAGCCTTCTAACATCACATCTTCTTACCGCGCCTGCTATATGGAACAATACTGATGGTCTACGAATATGCCTCCGAATCATCAGTGTCTTCAATACTGCTGCCATTACGGTGTGCAAAAACGAAGTAGAAAGTCGTAACGAGCATCCACCGTACGATGCATACCAACCTCGGAAAGGAGGCGGGATTGGTTCTGATGACTGGGCTCGATCAGTGATCAAAGGTGCGGATGACAGGTCGCCAAGATGGCAGCATCTTCTCGTGATCGCTGGCGTGTTACTAGGCATGGAAAATGGAGGAAGGCATGGGCTCTCTGGCGGACTCAGGGATACACTCGAGCGAGCATTAGTAACGGCGGCCAACTTAGTACTGGAGGATCCAATGAGGGATGGTATTCTTGCAGCAGAATCTATCGTGTTAGCTCTCAATCACGCGTTCCCACTGTTATCGGACGGAGTGCGTGCGGGTCTCAATTATGATACTTTAGTCATGATAATGGTACGGTCAATGACTGCATTGGAGGGCTACCAGGACGGTATTTTCTTACAACACATTGATGCAGATGTCAAGCAAGTACCGGGAGATAAGTTCGATTGGTCGTCCAAATCTTCCTCTTTTCTACAACTGCAAAAGCAGGCATCAAGCCCAATACTGTCGTCCATGGGGCCACTGTCGAGACTTATCGCATATGCAATCGAAAATATGAGCAACTCTCTACTCGCGATAGAAATTCGAGAGCATCTTCTTTCGTTCTCGGGTAGACTTCTAGAAGGCTGGAAGAGGAACAAGTTATCGGAAATTGATCCATCTGAGGAGGCGGCCTTTCTAACTCCCGAAACCCTCCAAATAACCGCACCAGTCTTATGGCAAGTATTGAAGAGCGCTATGTTTGCTACCGTTGTTATTTTGCAAGGTCTTATGGGAAGAACTATGCTTGACCCTATCCTGTCGACAAGACGCCTTGCTCCGATAGGAGCTTCTGAAACCCTTATCATTCTTGGGAACATTCACTTTATTTCGTCTCGACTTGGCTCGAATTCTTTTTCTGCATATGTGTTCGTTAATTTGTCTTCTATCGACATTCTATCTAATTATCCTCTCGAATCAAGAGAGCTTCTCAAAGCTATATATCCCACGCAAGCTGGCGAAATTCCAAACAACCCTTTGCAGCGCAATCATGATCTATTTTATCTTAATACTTGCGAGCACTTGACAGATATTCTTAGTCCGCCTGACAACGAAGGTTTAATCATTAGTGTGGCAGCCCCTTATCTCAATCCAACAGCTCATCCTGGCTTCCTGGAAATCTTTGAGGCTGCTCACAGCGCTGTTCTTGCAGTACTCTCAGCTCCTCAGAACACAAAATTGACCGCTAGATTCATACCAACTTACGTCGACGCTCTCTTTAATTCCTTTCCGAACAACCTGTCGCCTAGACAATTCCGTTACGCATTTAAGTCTTTAGTACACATTACTACTCCGCCTACACCACTGTCGACCGCAGAGCCAATGTTAGCCGAGACCCTTCTAGAAATGCTCCATCACCGTGCAACTCATGCGCCTACATCGCCACTACCACAATCTGTATATATGAGAGACACCGCCAGCCAACAAGATAGTCAGACGCCTCTCTCTGAACAGGCATACCTTATGCTCACACTACTTGATGCATTATCCAATCTTCCCCTCGATACTCTACAGGCATGGTTACCAATATCAGCTGACCTTTTGAATTCCATCGAAGATAATTACATGAGAGAACGATGCAAAACAAGATTCTGGGAAGTTTTAGAGAGTGGAGAGATGGACGTTGAGAGGAGCGCTTTATGTGTCGGATGGTGGAGTACACGGGGTGGTAGAGACCAGATACTATTTGGGAGGGAAACTCAAGATGTTGGGCCATACATGAGTGGAGGGTTGGGAGAAGTTAGAAGTAGATTGTGATAACGTCGGATGCGGCAGTCAAAAAGCTGATGATGTGATGAAGGTATATGAGGTGATAGTTATATTAATGGAACGGTAGCAAGGCGCGAAATTGAATGATAATAATTTTGGGACGGAAGAGAATAAAATGGATCAATCCACTGCCACCTTCCCTCTGGACTTGATTTCATTGGTCGTATCAAAGTTTGAAATTACTTTCCACGTTCAGACATCAACAAGTCTAACTTTATTTCAAATATAGCTGTTAATGGCCATACTACTTCCAATCTTGATGCCATGAAGGGGCTTGCTTAGCCGAGCATCCCCCAAGTACACCTATTAAAATCGCGCTATATTCTCTACTACTGTGTACTTATTTAACAAGGTAATGCATATCAGGATTTCAAACATTCCGCTTTGAAACGAATCAACTACCTGATATCTTGTTGCCATATTCCATGAAATCTACTTTCTAATCAAGTATCCTATAAAATCACATTACATACAAATTCCACGCTCAAAGAACTCCGACAAAATTGATGACGTAGGACCTATGCATGCAGTATTATCTTCATGCACGGTAGATCATCATCTTACATAACATATGTGAATGAATGTGCTTATGCATGCACAACAAAGGTAGTGATGCATTTTCTTGGGTAATACATTGCGTCAAGATGCAGGGCTTTGTGTGAACAAAAGGATTCTCCAAAAATGAGCCCCAGAAGCTTGATACAGGAAAATGATCATTGTCGAGTGATAACAGACTGTGTCAAGTAAAATGTAAGTGCTATACATGTATGCGATTGGGAAATGAAGATGCGTGAAAAGTAAATAGTCATTAATTCATATCTGCTAAAATCAAACAAAGAAACTATCATATAAGATAACATATCAATTTATCCATTGCATCTTGATACATCATTCCAGCCCAAAAATTAGTAATTATCGTTTCCAGCAGCGGCACGCTTAGCCTCGCCCTTCTCGACCAAATTTTCCTTGTGAAGCGCATGTCCAGCTTTCTCCATGATCTTGCCCACGGTAGAATCACCAGTCTTTCCAGTGTTAGAGCTCGAGGTGTTGTCATAGTCGCGCGAGCCAGTGTTTCCAGAGGAACCGTAAGTGTTACCGGAGCGGGTGTTGTTAGAATCATATGAGTCGGTGTTTCCACTGATGCCGCTGGATGTGTTCTCGCCGTATCCGGTGCGAGAGGAGTCGAGAGTAGAGGAAGGGTTATCGCCATATCCGGAGGAGGTGTTGTCTCCATAGCCTGATCTCGAAGTGCTATCTCCGTAGCCAGTAGAGGTCTTATCGCCAAATCCAGAAGAGCTGTTGTCTCCATAGCCTGATCTTGAACTATCCAAACCAGTTGACTCGTCCCCTCCATATCCAGATCGAGAAGTAGAAGTGTTGCCAAGGCCTGAAGAGGTGTTATCTCCATAACCAGAGGAAGCTCCACCAATTCCCGAATCTTTAAGACCAGATGAAGTGTTATCATCGTAGTCAGAGCGGGAGGTCGAAGTATTTCCAAAGCCAGAAGAGGTATTGTCACCTAATCCTGAAGTTCGCTCACTTCTACCAGTTCCGAAGTTATTAGTGTCATCACCGAGATCTCCTCCATACTTGGAGTTGCTCGAGCCAAACTCGTTGTCTCTCAGTCCTCCCTATGTCATATCAGCAATAGTCGAGAAAGATATTGTAAGTGTAACTGACAGAGTTTCCGGTGTTGAAACCACGGCTTTCTTGAGTAGAAGATCCTCCATATGCTCCAGAATCCTGATCGTCAAATGTGCCGGTGCCTCCAACGCCTCGGGCGCTGGTAGTGTTGCCGCGGCTCTCATTCCCAAAACCACCTGTGGTATTTGAGAATGAATCATCGGCGCTAGAAGGGGCACCACGGCGGCCAGTAGTGTCGTAGGAATCGTCGTTGTTGTATGTAGACATGTTCAAATTGTTTTTGTTTTTGTTGCCGAGTATTTATGTAGAAGCTAGTTGTGAGATTGAATGTTTGTTTGATACGAAGAAAATGGGAGGATATTAGAAGGTTACTTTATAACATTTCGTCGATGAGCTAATATGTCATAAGATGATCTAATTGAAGGGTAGTGCCGGTGTTGAAAGATGCCTACTAGGGTACCTTCAAATGAAGACCCTGTGGGAGCTTGGAAGAGTTGGCATACGTGACAGACGTCAACTGGGATGGTAAAACAAGGATAGATCGTTCCAATAGCCACGTTCTTTCAGTCGAATGCAGCAATGGCAGTACCAAGAAAACAAGATCGGTGGTTTTGACAGCCCGTTTTCACTCTAGTAGACTATATGGTGATCTGACTTTACGTCCCTTTACCCATGTCGGGGTGAAAGAACACTAAGAGAATGCATCATCATTGTCGAACCGGATCAAAACAGGTTACGTCTGTGGCGGTGCTGGTAATAAAAGAGAAGAACTTGGTCTGACCAATAAAATAGTTTGGAAGAACAACATGTGTGGAATGAGAATATAAAAAATGCGGGGTAAAGTCCACTTAATCAGCCACAAATCATCGATATGTCACTTAAAACAAGCTTTTCTGCTGGCTGTATCCGTAACTAGTGAGATGTAATCACATCCATGAATTTGTTCAAAAAGGCCCAACGGAAGGAAGAGTCTCGTCAGTCATGTCTTGAGCACTAATCAAAGGGGAGGCTGATCAAAATCCAACTTCATTCATGTACTTGCAATACTGCTAGAACACTCGACCATACTCCATGCAACCATGACGCCAAACCCCTTCGCCCTCTATAGTACATATCCGAGTCTCGTCCGGAAGAATTAATTTCCATATTGCACCCCTACATTGTGATGCACAATGACTCCATCATCTCACGTATTTGCTACCACACGTTAGTCTCATCTGATTGGTTGCTACCATTGCCGCTGAGTTGAGATTCAAACATCCAAACATACCTCATGAATTTCTTATGGAAATCGGAACGTAGCAAGTCCTAAGATTTGGGTCAGTGTCCTGTGATGATACTTTCATGGCTGGTACAACATACATTGACGAATTCTTTTTTGCCTTTATCTTCGGTTCCACGAGCTTGATTTTTGAAAATGACATCATCGTCCCATCTAATAATCTTGAGTTAGTAAATACAGCATGAGAAACTAGTCCACACCTAACATACCGCCTTTTAACATTGAAGTCAGATTTGGCATTCAACAATGGGTTGCCAAGAGCGATATCATGCTCTCGCTCCGCTTCTTCAGCCGCTAGTCTTTCTCGTTCCTATTAAAGCATCATAATTAGTGGTAGATTGGCAGTTTTGAAAAGCTTAATCTGACCTCTTGTTCTCGTTTCTCGGCACGCTCGCGCTTAATCTTTTCAAGTTCCCGTTGAAGCTCCGCAGTCTCGTCTTCGTCATCATCACTAGCACCATGTGAGCCTTTTTCCCAGAGGGTTGTAGATATTTGGCGAACCTGTCATCATCACTACTATCACTCTCTCCAGCATCGTCCGAGTCGGCATCTATATCTCGAGTTTCTTCCAGAATGCGCCGCCTTTTTGCTTCAGGGTCTTCATCGTCCTCCACCGAGCCATTCTCGAGTTGTCTTTTGGATGTGTTTGTAGACGACTGTACATCTTCGATTACAGCGCTTGATCCCCCATTCTTTTTAGCGAAATGCGCTGCTTCTGCTTGTAATAATTCTGCTCGAAGGTCTCTGACTTCGGCTGCTGCATCGCCTCCCTGTCCTGGCTTTCTATAACTCCATTAACCTCAAGTTTCACAAGCAAAGATGACGAGGGTTTGTACCGGAATTTCAGTTGTGTGTGAGCTGGAAGTAATCTTTGATGGTAGGCCGGGCCTCGTTGTGCTTCTTTTCCCACTGCCTATTTTCCATAAGAAACATTCTGTACAATTCGCAATGTAATTTCACTTACTGGGTCGAAGGTAGGTCTATGTGCTGGAAAGTTTGTTAGTAATTCCCAAGTAGAAATAACAATATTGTCCAACAGGGCTTACCGGTAGTCATCTTGTTTGCTGTGGAAAATGTAAATCAATGTTTGATAAAAGATAAGGTGAAGGCCAGACGCGATAGTCTACCTACATTTAAGATGCTAAATAAGGCTGCGCTAGTCTAATCAAAGCTCACCGCCTTGGGGTTTCTGGCAAAAAGAAATCTTGGGGAATAATGTAACCCGCGCAACCATTCAGTGTGTATATTCACGTCAATAAGTAATTCGAGATGCCTCGAGAACTTGAGCCTTCTATCAATGAAAAGCAGTTCTTTTCGAAGGCTCTCAAAGAAAACTTGAGAATTGACGGAAGAAGTTTTGATCAATTTCGAGCTCTAGAGTTAGAGTTTGGAGATGAATATGGTGTTGCAGATGTGAGGTTAGGGAAGACAAGGTAAGAGATGCGATTACAGGAGATGCACATGCAAAGCATCTTTTAGATATTTACTTCGAGAGATATCTTTTCAAGGGTCATTAGTGAGGCTGATAATTCTCTAGGGTTCTCGTCAATATCACAGCTGAAGTAACAAGTCCATTCCCAGACCGTCCCTTTGATGGCATCTTCACCATCACAACGGAGCTTTCACCTATGGCCTCACCCGCTTTCGAAACCAACCGTCCAACCGAGCAAGAAGTACTGCTCTCTCGCCTTCTCGAGAAGACCCTGCGACGCTCTGCAGCCCTCGATACCGAATCTCTTTGTCTCATCGCTGGTCAGAAATGCTGGTCAGTTCGAGCAGATGTTCACATTCTATCACACGACGGAAATCTTATTGATGCGTCCTGTATTGCTATAATAGCTGCATTACAACACTTTCGGAAACCAGATACAAGCACGGAAGGAGAAACGGTGACTGTCTACACTCTAGCAGAGCGAGAACCTGTGCCTTTGAGTCTTCTACATTTCCCACTCTGTGTGACATTTTCATTTTTTGGAAAGGGTCAAGAACAGACTAGATTGGTTGATACGACATTAATGGAGGAACAGTTAAGAGAGGGTAGTTGCACGATCAGTATGAATCGTCACGGAGAAGTCTGTCAAATTGCCAAGCTTGGTGGTATAGCAGTCGATGCCGTGGAATTGTTACAATGTACGAATATTGCGCTAGAGAAGGTCAAGGATATATCTGCATATATCACAAAGAGCTTGCAAGAAGATTCGAAGAAAAGAGATAAAGGAGGACTCATGGCTGAGCTTAGAGCAGATAATTCAAGATGATGAAGATAAAGATTATGTCTAATATGTACGGCAGACTCTATGATGATCTCTTCTTCGAATCAATCTCCCAAACAGGTCTGTATAATAGGCATTAACCCCAGATGCTAATGCTCTATGAATTACACCAGGGTATTGGATATTCAAACTCCCAAAAATAAGATCAAGACGCCACCCAATTGATGCATATTCCTATTCCCGACGCTAAAACGCAATACAACAGTAAAATCAATTATGTCCATCTCTTTCTTCCAATTCTCGCATATACTTGACAAAAGTCTTCTTGTGAGTCTGTAAATGGTCAGGTCTCTTGCACGCTAAGTGTGTGGAGGTTGGATAAATCTTACCAATCCGGCGTAACGGCCATCTTTCAGTACACAAACATATCTCAAGCCGAGTTTCACGAAACATTCGTAGACCAAATCCATTGGGGAACGAATATCTAAAGCTACCGGTGCCTGTTTTGGTTCTTTGTCAGCAGTGGATTTGAGAATGAACAGGTGCTAAATTTTGCTTACAGGATCAATGTAAGGCGTGAAGTCAGTAGGATCAACATGCTCTTCTTCTTCAGAGTCATCATAGTTGCTGATGGTCGCCATGAGGCACAAGGTACCTGGCTCATTATCAAGATTATCGAGAGCGAATTCTAAATCGGGGGCTGGTATTAGACCGACAAGAACATCGTCTCTGATGATTGGCAATCCACCATCGACCTCACCGGCCTGATGCAAAAGCTCTAACTTCTGGCGCAGACTGCTAGCAGGTATCATGGGGGAGACTGAGATGTCAATAACTCTTTCTCTTCGAACACGGGGCACAATATCTGCAAGATCGGAGGTAAATATCGGCTTATGCTTGTTATTAAGAAATGGGTAAGCGTTGAGGTTGGTCAGTAAATCCTGGAAAAGTCAGTCTTTCCTCCGCACACTTATCATTAAATGATCTTACGTATATGCTCAGAGGTTCCATGAAATCTGCTGTCCATTTTGAGACTAAAACAGCGAGGGAAAATGGTAAAACATAATCAAGACTACCTGTCAATTCAAAGAGAATGACTGCCAAAGTCACAGACAATCTGGTTACCCCACACATCGTAGAACCGGCAGCAATGAGAGCATAAACACCGGGAGTAATACAAGATGTTCCGCTCTCATGAGCAGCGCAACTTTCAAATATAGAAGCGTGGGGAAATTGCAATACAAGCCATTGCACCAAATGACCGACGATCCTGCCGAGTAGGCCGCCTACAACCATAGATGGAACATATATACCTGCAGGAACTTTCTGTAGCATTGTGTTAGTAGATGGCCGTGTGCTCGCTTATGATTGAGTTGAACTTACGATGCCAAATGTAATAATCGTCAACAGGCCTTTGATGAAAAATGCAATAGTTAGCTGTCCAATGATGGGAAAGATCTCATCAATGCTACTGGGACAAAGGCCCATGCTATCTGATTTATCAGTATCGCAAGGACTAGCCAAGTTGAACAACAATTTAGCTACTGGGATCTTAGTATACGGATTCCAATAGGAGACGAGGCCTGTTAATAGAGCAACAAGCATGACCTCAAAAAGAGGCCACTTTTTTATAATCTCAATCTTCCTGAAAGACTGTGCCCAGGACCTAGATGCCTTGATGAATGTTGCACCGGTTATGCCACCGAGTACACCGACCATGATGAAAGCGGCGAGTTCAAAAAAGTTCCAGTCCGTTAAGTAGCGAACTTCGAACATGACAATCTTGTTGGTGCCATAAGGATTGAGAAATTTTAACGTCAGTGCAGCTGTGATGCAGCAGAAGAAGGTTCGAAATAATGTTTTAGCTGGGAAAAAGTACGCCACTTCTTCCAAAGAAAAGAGAACACCGCCAATGGGAGCACCAAAAGCTACCGCAACACCTGCAGCTGCGGCCGCAGACAATACTTCTCTGCGTTTCCCGTCATTGTCATCGTATTTGGAGAATAAGCGGCATGCGATATTGCCCACACAAGTTGCAATGTGTACAAAAGGGCCCTCCTTTCCTAAACTTAGCCCGGATGCCACACTCAATATCAGAGCGAGTGTTTTGACGAGTAGAGTCTTAAAGCCAAGAAATCCATGCAAAACGAAACCGCTAAGAATTACGCGAACTTCAGCCACTCCACTGCCGGCAGCCGAGTAGTAGATCATCGGAGCATTCGTCTCAGAACTCAGCGTGTTCTTCGGGCTGGTATTACCATCGACTGGCGCCTGGGAGTCATGTCGACTAAGAGCACCAAGGTTCTCATCCAACGTAGATAGTTGATATGTTGATGGTACGACCGTTTTGGTAGTCAAGGTCAAAAGACATGCTGCTGTTGCAAATGCGACTACAAGTAAAACGTAAATAAAGAACTCTGTTAACTCCTCACTAAAAAATGGTATTTCGACATAATTGGACCAAGATTTCCAAGCATCACATTTGTCTCCGTCGGGGCAACATCTCTATGAATAGTCAGTGTACTTGTTCCCCCATGATTCAAAGCAGAAAGCATATCACGTTAATGTCGCCGAATCTGATTTGTAAGCTTTGGTGGGCAGTTTCAAAAGTCATGTCGAGCAATGAACGGAGATGACGAAAATTGCACAAACCTTTTCACTCATGAAAAATCCATCATGACAATAACCATCTTTCCAATCATAAATAGGAGTCTCCGAGACATCAACGGTATATGCTATCGTAGCTGTCACGAATCCAACTAGGGCACTCAGTATCCAACCTTGTGTGCCATCAAAAAACGCCTTGATTCGGCCTCGAAAATCTTTCCTACTTCGGAGCCCCTTCACTCGGTATGCATCTGCAATGCTGTCATGAACCCAATCTGTTGATGTAAATTGATCATACCAAACTCTGTCGTCTGTGGTCGACATGTTTTTGGATTCTCGCATCTGGTCCTTGGGTCCATGTCTTTCTGAAATTAATGCGGTGACTAGACGCTGGCCCCAAGATCCGGCACGGCTATGATGCCGACTACCTCTTAGACTACCTGTTAACGATATACAATTAGCCCCATGCTCAGTACTATGGGAGAAAGCTGAAGCTTCGTAAATACTGGTAAAATTGGAGACTTGCCAGAGAAACTATGATGACTTGGTAGATATGGGCGATTGATCTCCGCGGCGCCACCGAGACGTATACGAGAACGCCCCGCACTTTGGAGTAGAGGAGTTCGCTCGTCGGAAAGATTACTTGCTGATCTTTGGAGAGTTCTCATGGCTGTAGGTGAAGGTGGAGTTGACGAGTCCCTCGATTCAGGTGGAACATTCGACGACATTGTAAAGTCGACGCCAATGTGGCTCTTGCTAGTAGGTCTCATATCGGAAATGTCTCGGTGTGTCACCTAACACATCTCAGGAAGATAGACGTTCTGGAATGACGACACGGTACACAACGGCAGGAATCTGAAAGGTCGCATGCAAGAGCGGGAGATGCGAAATGCAAATGCGAAAGAAGGGAAAGAGGAAATGATAAATAAGAAGCTGAAGATGTACAAAAGATCGCCTCTCAATATTATCACCCACACCACTACTTGACGAAAACTAGAATTTTTCTTGGGATTCAAGGAGGAAGTTGGAGTGTTGGTGTTGGAAGTGGCTTTGACTTTTAGAGATCGGGAATTGGAGCAAATGCGGAATCAAGAAGCATCAAATGAAATGTGGAGGAGAAACAAGGGTCTTCGAGGCTGGTTGAACCCTGGAATTATTGTTTAGAAGTTTAGAGTTGATATTAATATTGAGCGGTCGGACTTTCCTGCTGCAGTTTGCTTTTGATGTAATAATGTCGTAATATTCAATGATCCAATCGGTGTAGGTGCGATGTGCAAGAACAGAAACTCCTGGGCCAAATGTCTGACGGGGGGAACATTGAATACAAGCAAAGATGAAAAGATGAGAAGATCAATGTCAAAGACACATCCTGATCACTAATTGCGGAACCCAAAGGCAGAAGTGGGAGTTGGAGTGTGAAGTTTGGAATAATTATGGGAAATGATACGGTTAATGCGCTTAAGATAGCTTTTGCAATGCAGGACAGCCTCGATAAGGCTCGATAAGCTTCATGAAAATGAAAATGAAAAGGTGCTACCTAGTAATGGTAGGTACTTAGGTAATCCAGTTTTCTTGGAAGCCGTCTTGAAAGTCACAAGCGCTGTGAAACATACGAATGCATTCATTCATTCCTTATGATCTACAATTTATCTTCCGCAAGCCATAAAGCAAGTTGATGATAACCTCTCTTGGGGATCTAACCAATCAGCATGACGAGTTATAAAACATTCAATGGTAAGATGACTCGTGAACTACCGATACTTACGAGAGGATGGATCATAAATAGCAGATGGCAGTAACATCAGCATCGGCATCAAAAAGGAAGTGTAGCTCATGACACCGGAAAGGTAGAGGATGTTCGATTTGGGTGTGCATACAATTCCGCCCACACCGAGACACCCAATCGTCAGTATGACTTTGGGGAAAATCTATACTCCATGAGATACGATTGATGAGAAAGCTGATCTGTGGGGATGAAATCCACAGGATAACATGGTAGCTGAGCGTACAAAGTAGGCAATCTCGCAATTAAACTCCCGCGAATATCGCGTCAAAATCCATGAGCCCATCATCTATTATCCATCATCCACCCCATCCCATCCCATCCCACTAGTAATTCAGAGAGCGACGAAGTACGACCTATCTAGTACCTCAACTCCACAAAAGATCCAGAATTGTCCACTTCGTACGTCGCGCATTACATCAATTGAGGAGAGACTACAGATCTGTCAGGGTGCATTTGAGGCTTGTGATCTCCATTGGTGTTTGTTTCGATTCCTACAACCGACTGAATACTAGACAGTCCGTTTTTCAAGATTGTTTCGTGAACTGCATATCGCTTTTCGTTTTCTTCCCCGGCTTCCTATTGCTGCACTGCTGCACTGCTGCACTGCTGCATTCCCGCTATTGCATGTTGGAACTAGCCGAGGCGGCTACGAATTAATAGGGATAGAAAAAGAAAGCCCCTTTCCTAAACATTAGTTAACTTCTACCGTACCACATTTGACATGGCTTTCAAAGGGTACCCCCAATTCATTCTACTGGGCGATTCCATTGTTCAATTCTCAAGTCATCTGCGGGATGGCTTTTCCTTTACTGCGGGTCTAGAAGAACGTGAGTTCACTGTTCCAAACTAGAGCCATCTGGTCACTCATTAATTCATTTTTAGATTGTTCTAGGCGGCTCCAGATAATAAACCATGGGTTGAGCGGGTATAACACCGATAATGCTCTTGAGATTCATCGGCACCTCGTCCCAGATCCAATCACTGCAAAGGTTCCCTATCTGGTACGTCAAAAACTACCATGTAGGACTCATTCCTTCATAGAAAGCCCCCTTCAAGCCTCGCCGTTACTGGTGCGAGCCTATCCTTAGGTCATTTCTCTGTATACTAATAGAATGTGCTGTAAGCTCGTCCTGTTCGGTGCGAATGATGCATGCCTACCGGATGGTCCCACGGGTCAACATGTTCCATTGGAAAGTTACAAGAAAAACATTGAAATCCTTCTCCAAAACTGGAGTTCCATAGCACAACGCCCCACGATTTTACTGGTTACACCACCGCCTATCAACGAAGTTCAGCTTGAGGAACAAGACCTCCAGAAGGGGTATTCTTCTCTTACGCGATCACAGGATAACACAGCCAAATATGCAGCTGCAGTTAGAGAAATCGCCGATGAATGGAAAGATCGAAATGTGGTATTGGTCGATCTATGGAAGGCTATTATGGTTAAAGCAGTACAGATGAGTCCAGATAATACTGGCAACCTAGAAACGATTGGCACCAAACGTGCTGGAGATGATAAAGCTATGAGGGCACTTCTCACCGATGGTCTTCATCTTTCTAGTGACGGATACAGAGTATTCTTGAACGAAGTTATACCATTGGTTGGAAAAGAGTGGAAAGAAGAGCCCTTGGATAGCCCCAGCTGGGTATTTCCACACGTAAGTATATCGTTTGCATTTTCTTTCAGTTCCTAGATGTGTTTCCTAGGTGGTGATATATCATTCCCTCAAGATAAAGTGTTGATAATGCTAATAATATGATATTAGTGGACAGTAGCTCCTAAATTCAGTCATTAAACGGAATGCATGCATGATGCATAGAAAGGTGTGTAGGTGGTCTTTTCTATGATAGAATATACATGCAAGGAAGACTTCTAGATTCCTGAAATCTGATAGAGACAGCTCACCTATTCATTAAGTATCGATTGATTGAGGGATGAATAGCTTCACGGAACAGTATTCAAAAAATCAAAGTAACAACGAAAGTAACTTAGCATACCTACCTATATGAGTCAAAAGAATTGCAGAGGCTTCAATCACGAAGGCAGCTTAGAACCAGTACCTAGAATGATTGTTAGCTACCTACGAGGTGATTGTTGACATTTAATATTTAAAATGCTTTGAGTCGGAGATCCCTAGTATAGGTGGTTCATATTGCACAAGCAATACCTTCCTACAACATGTTTTAGACTGTCAGGGCACTTAACGCCGAAAATGCATGCACACCACTTAAGGTTAGTTACCCTTGTGATTTTATAGGGTTACCGCAACCAAATTAAAGGTCCCTACCAGCTACACTACCGCCAGAGCAATTAATGACATCCTTTGATCCAAACCAAAATCCTACTCAACAACTTGTTATTGATTGATAATTTGACTTCCTAATATACAACATACAATATACCAACTTCATAATAATCAGCCTTGATACAACCTACCCCTTTCTTAAACATCTTCAAAAGGCAAACTCAAATCGATTTACTGCACATCTAGTATCTACTTGTACCCCCACTGCGATTCCAATCTTCCTCAAAGGGCAAAACAACGACATACAACAAACAAACAACAAATTATCTGCGAAAAGACAAACAACAAACGTAATTGCTGTAGAGCTCTTCGATCCCCTTTGGTTCAATCTATACGACACCATCTTGCGAATCAGATAATAGCCCCAGGAAGCACAGACTTGCAACGAAGCAGACCACCATTACATTCCTCATTTGATACTTGCACGACTCTCAAAGAACAGCTGGACACAACAATATTCAAAGAACCTTCGCCCATATTTCATACCCAATTCTGTTCCAAAACAAAAACTGCGAGATTAGGCATTCGTCGATCATAGTAGGCAGGAGGGTGTCTCAAATATCAAATCGTCGGCCGATGCCGTGGGGGAGGCTCACAAAGAGCCGTTGTGTACTTCGTTGGCATTAAGCACAAGATACAAGAGCTGGGATTTTCTCCAAAATTTCACAGTTGGCCAGGTGCTAAACATTTCGTGATATACCTCAGCCCGATTGGAACAATATCTCCTATCAGACGATAAACTACGAGCGTCTAGGGACAATTGTACGGCATTGTTGCGGTGACCCTCCTTGGTCGATTTCATTTAATATTACTCCCATGCCATCAAGTGTGAGACTTGAAAACACAACTTCCCTGGGGGTTACAAGGAAAGGATTGGAATGGATTCACAGTTCCCGGCTTCACGAGAAGAACTATACCATGTTCAAATGGACGTGAAGCATGTACAAGCCGTACAAATCAACCATTCCGACCGCCTCATGAGATTGGAGAAGCGCCAGGCGGACGATGCCGCTCTCAAATCTGTTTGGGGTACAAATTCTCCGTTTCCTGGCATTTTGAGCGGTACTCCCCAACAAGGTATGTGTTGGACTTGATCCTCGCAAGGCTGGCTGAAATATTAACACATTGAATTATAGGCCCTGTTCATAACTCCCCTACGGATGTTTTCGATGACTTTGATGACGAAGAAGAGCAAAATCTACTCGGGAGTCTTCATCTAGATAACGATGAGGAGCCAGTGCGTAGAGGTACTTCGAGAGCGAATAGTGTACGCTTCGACGTGAGCGCTCTACAGGGGTCACATTGGGCACAAGCATCAAGGGCGTCAGGAGAGTTTGGTCCCGCTCGCCCGACTAGTGGATTTGGCAGTCATCCTATGACTGAGCGGTCCTCATCGCATAAGTCAGATGGGAGGCATAGCTCTGCTGGTCACTCTGTCCACTCCACCCATTCTGTTCCCTCTGGACGCACAAGTAGCCTAGGCTTGGATACCAATTTCATGATCGGCGACCCGGACGATGATTCACCCTTGGAAATACCGGACCCTCCTCCAGGTCTGTTTATCCTCGGTTCAGTACCTTCCATCATCAGATGCTGGCTTACGGTCAACTTTTCTCACAGTGCACTCCTATATGCCGATATTTGTACAGGTTCACAAAAGTCGGTCCTTGACTATTCGCTTGTAAAAGAGCTTGGCCTAATGAATCAAATGCAAAAGGATCCAACAAATGGCCGTTATGTTATCAGGCTACCTGTGTATCTTCCAGAAGCAATTATAACGCAATCGTCTTCTAGAGTTAATAGTCCCGGCCCTCATTTACCGACTCTCACAGCAGATTTCGAGGTAGTTGGCATGAATCAACGATCCTTTGCCGATCTCAAAAGATCAATACGTGTATTTATTGGCAGTGATACTCTACGTGCGCACAACGCAGATATACTCTTCTCGCAAAACCTCATGACACTCTTCGGCGATGATCGTAACAAACTGTCTGTGCCATTCGTGCGACCGGAAGACGAGCTTCTTTTCAAGAATTTGTGCACCGCAAATATCCCACCTGAAAGAAATGAACTCAAAGCAACGGCTCTTCCTTTTACGCCCAGTGAACAACGATCCAAGATTGAACCTACGAACGCAGGTGATGTAGTTGCTGGGTCACGTGCTGACCATGTCAAGCCCATAGACAAAGACGCCCAATGTCAAAGTGTTACAAACCCACAAACCAACTCTGCCGCCACGTCTTCATCACCTGTTCACAGTATTCCCCCTATGTTGGAAGCTGAGACTTTTATGAAGAGCAGTGGCAGTACTTCAGACTCGGAAAGTTTACACAAATTGGACCAAGGCGTGGCCGATGCAAACAAAGTCGAGTCCACGAACGCAGCTGATGCGCTCAAGCGCGAAACGCCTATGGGGACTTGGGCTTCATGGCGGCAAGGCAGTACACCACTGAATGGTGATCACAATAGTGATTCTACTAGTGGGTATCAAAGAGCAGTCCGCGGAGGTCGAAGTATGAAGGTGCTAAAACCATCAAAATCCATTTCGTCTCCATCAAATCTAGCTGCTAGTCGTTCGTCGTCTGGTGCAAGAACAGGTGCATCTTACGAACCGGCGCCTTCAAGATCAATTGCTGATCTCAAACGCAAGGATCAACCCAATGGGACTGATAAATCACAGCTTCGTTGGGAACCAAAGAGAGTAAGTTCAGAGGATCAGAAGAGTGCTAAAGTGATTACAACCATTCCGCGATCCTCAAATCCAGTAGGCGGTGCTTCAGCTTTCGCGTGGATGAACTCCAGCAAGCCGAAGGTTTCTGTCGCCCCCACAGACTCCTGATGTGTAATTAAATAGGCACGTATTGCGAGCAAATGATGCGAAATAATTGTTATGTACTTGACTGCTTAGTGCTCAGATAATTAAATTTAAATTATATCACATCTTGACTTGTTGATACTATGTTTGCAATCTCTTGATACCCCTTTCACATCTTACTGAGAAGAGTACTCATGACATCCTTTGTACTCGCTGAAGATTCCTTCACGAGAGTAGCAATTGCTTTGAATCTACGAATAGAGGCATTAATAAAATCCAATAATCACATCACAAACCGAGGAATAGGTCATATCACTTACTCGGGAATACTAGAGGAGTTAGCTCGATTTCATTTATGATATGTTACGAAGAAATAAAGAAAGGTGCATACCTAGCATCACCCATAATCTCATACATGATCGACTCCGAGGTTGTCACAATAGCACCAGCAGCCCTCAGCCGATCAAGAGCTATAGGTATCTCTTGCGGGTTACAGCTACTCACTCCATCGGCTAATACATATACCTATGCAAATTGTTAGCCCCCTTATGTTGCGCTCATCAAGTACACTCACTTTGTGCCCATTGGCTAGCAAATCCAATGTCGTTTGTGTAACGCAGATGTGCGATTCAATGCCCACGATAATCACTTCGGCTGGGGTAGCAGAATGGAAATGTCGAGAAATCGATGGAATCCACTGGGTTGGGATCATGAGTTAGTCACTACCGACATCTTTTCACACCATGGAAGGACGATATCGACGCAAAAGCTCTCATTTCAAGGTCCATATATGATGATTGTAGAGTTCACTTACCATGCTAAAAGCCGTTTTGTCTGCATGCTCTACAGCATTGGGGATTTTAAGCTCAGCGCACGTTTCACCCAGTCGTGCGCGATTCTGTGTGGTGGCATAGATGGGAATATGAAGTATGTCACTTGCTTTGATCAACTTTTGGGTTGTCGCGATGCTGAGGTGGGAAGTAAGTGATAGGATCTATAGATTGAGGAAGATGGATAAACGCACACTTTCTCATATTCCCATATCGCTTTGCGAAACTTTTCTTGGATGTCGCAAATACTTTTTGGAAAGGGGGGGTTAGTGGAGGGATTCAAAGGGAACGAGAATCAAGAGTGGTCGGAGAATGGGGAACGAACAAGAGGGCAGGTCTGACTGAGTTGCGTAAGTATTGGGTAGCTAGAAGTGAGGGATGGAACTTACTCAGACGTTTTCCTACATGTTCTATCATTTTTGCAATGTGAAGAATGACACTTTCATTTGTTTACTTGTTGGAGTGTTATTGCGTTTTCTGGGGTAGGTGGGGTATGTAAGCCGAGGATGTGGAGCTAAGGGAATGAAGCGCGATTGGCACTTCGTCCCGGATCAAGGGGCTTTTAATGTGACTCTGAGAAAGTCAAGTGCACAGGGCATTAGATGTACGAGAACATATGCGGGTACTCCAGTCTTATAATTTTTTATACATAGAATATTACCATACAATGGTTTCAACTCTCGCTTTTTCAAGCCACCGCAAATCACTATGAGAGTTTGCCTTTTGTATAACATACAGTTCATCAATCAGCGCTGGAACAAATGTACCTGGACCTCTCACATCCTCTCGGACAGCTGCTATCTCGGCTGCAATCTCGTAGTGAAGCAATGCTGATAATACAGCGAGAAGCTTGTCTTCACGACTGACTGCCAACATTGCTGAGATGATAGTACCCAAAACACAACCACTTCCCGTAATTCTGCCCAAAATTTCATGCCCATTGGATATTGCAAAGGTACGTACTCCGTCGCTCAAAACGTCAATCGCCCCGGTCATCAGTACTACATTGCGCTCCCTCAATGCTAAATCACGCACGATTGTAGCTTTCTCCGCGAGACTCGATGTACTTGAGCCACTGTCAACGCCTCGTTGCTGAATAAGTGATCCGGATACGGTCTTGATTTCCCCCTCGTTTCCTTTAATGACATCGAAGTAACCATTTGCTAGAAGTGATTTAACTGCCGACCGCCTTACAGCAGTAGCTCCGCAGCCCACTGGATCGAGCACAATTGGCCCTCCTGCGTTATTGTATGCTCTTAGAGCCTTTGAGTAGTTTTGTATACCTTCGGGGGTGACCGTTCCCATGTTAATAACCAAGCCACCTCCAAGTTTCGCAAGATCTGCCGCCTCCTCTCCATAATTTGCCATGATAGGACTGGCACCAATTGCCAGAGCCACATTAGCAGCAAAGTTTTGAACCACGAGATTTGTCATGTTATGAGATAGAGGCGTCTTCTTAGCAACATCTCCTATGATTCCTGGAACCTGCAATAAAACTTCGCGAAGGTCTTTTACTTTTTGATCATGCGGTAAATTTGCTAGCGCAAACGGAGCCGGGGTCCGTATAAGTTCTGCAAGCTCGCGGGCAGCCTTTTCGGCATCCTGTGCTGCTATGATTGCACTGACGATGGCCACCCCGTCAAGCTGCTTACCCTCTGATGCCGACTGATACAGGACACGCTGTAGATTTGAGGAATTGATGCCACCTATTGCTACGGTTCGCACTTGGCTTCCTGACTGTTGCAAAGAATGCAGAACTTCCTTCGTGCCAGCGGTTCCAATAATATCCTTGGTGTTGGTTTTCCTATTTCGAAATCCATCAGAATACTCTTCGTTAATTTAAGCAAATGGATTAGGTATGAAGGTTGAATTGAGATTCTGTTCCCATTAAACAAGGTTACGCGTTGTAAATTTGTGCTGGAATAAAGGTACCACTTGATCTCTTAAAGCTCTCGAATCTGAAACTCAAAGCCATATTGCCGTGCTATTCTTACGTCGGTGTGGCAAACATTGTGCCAATTCCTAGATAATCTGCACCATCTTTAGATGCTGTCAAAGCTTCTTGGACATTGGCCACTGTTACTCCGATAATTGCATCCTTGCCCAACAGTGTTCTTGCCGTCTTCAGATCTGGATCAAAGTTAGAGACATGAGGGAAAGATGGCATTGTCACTTTATTCGTGACAGAGGATCTAACCCATATCGTCCTGACCAATATGGACACCTTCACACGCGACCGCAAGAGCAACATCGATTCGATCATTGATCAAAAGTGGAACATTGTACTTTCGTGTGACAGCATGTAACTTCCTCGCAGTATCAACCAGGGCAGCTGTATCGCTGTATTTGTCTCGATATTGCACAATCGTGACACCACCACGAACTGCAGCATCTACCACATCAACCAGATTTCTATCACCAAGTATAGCAGGTGTAGAGTCTGTCACAAGGTAAAGAGAGTAGTCAACATTTTTAAGGGCCATTCTGGGAGAATGGAGACAGGAATGAATAAATCCGAAGTTAGGAATACGGTTATCAGTACCCAGGAAGGAATAACAGGAAGAAGGAAGAATTTTGGATTGCTAAAAATGGAGATGAATACAACTGGGTATAAAGCATATCAATGAATCATGTGCTTAGACGCGGCACGTGTAGTTCTTCCTCCCTACAAACAAGTGAAGTTGGCTTTGATATTATCAATCTGTAAAATTCTATATACACGTTTGATAAATATAAATGTCATTATATCATTATATTTACTAAATTTTACTAAATTTTACTAAATTTTACTAAATACATTAATAAGTTTAATAAATAATTCATAATTGATTTTATTGATACTCACCTAGTCAGGATCACTTTGCTGTAGTTGTATTCCTCCTTCCTAGCTCCATTTTTTTTTTCTCTCGTTGACAAGGGCTTACCATTTCCACCATCGATATCCGAAACCTTTTATTCGGAAATTCTTTCAATCTTTCTTTTCCCCCTCCACAACCTTCCTCTTTCTTCGCCTTCTACCAAACAAACACAACACAACAAACAATAATTCCATCAACAATACAATAACATTTTTGTATTGGAGATTGTTCGATAGAATAAATTCCATTTAAAAAGGTCCAGTCTTCTACGGTCCCATCTATCCCAAATCGTCGGAATCAAACAAATCCCATACCTCGCCAATCAAAGTCGTTCAAGAATACGTTGAGCAATCACCTTTGCTTTTCGCTCTTGTACTTGTCGGATATTTGACCTTCAGACTTCAAACCTCTACAGCTTGCATCTCTCAGTATCTGACAGATACTCCATCTTTTCCAACAAGGATTTTCTTCCCTTGAATTCTTCACCCAAAGCTATCAGCACGTACAGTGATACATTTGCGTTATATGTATCTCACACCCAACGCCAACGACCTCAGACATCAGCCGCCCCTCGAGCTGCAACCATTTCGCATACCGCGGAAACCTTGTAGTTCTTACTTCAGTAGCAACGGCTAAGTATTATCCTCTACGATTCGAATGTTCCCGTAACCACCAACCAAATTTTACCAACCTCAATCGACTTTGCCATTTCAACGAGTTCAACTTTTCTGCATGTTATATTTCAGATTATCGCATTATCTAAACAATACCTGCACGCCTTAACCTTCACGAAAATACACAATTCGACTCAACACTACCTATTAGCAATCATGGCTACTGTCAATATCCGCCGCGATGTCAAGGACAACTTTTACAGATACAAGATGGAGAAGATCCAGTCCAAAATTGAAGGAAAAGGTAACGGCATCAAAACCGTCATCGTCAATCTCACCAGTATCGCCAATTCATTGGCCCGCCCAGGGGCATATGTCATCAAGTATTTCGGCTTCGAACTCGGGGCTCAAACCAATACCAACCCTGCCGATGATCGTTGGATCATCAATGGTGCTCATGAAGCAAGCAAATTGCAGGATTACTTGGATGGTTTCATCAATAAGTTTGTGCTCTGCAAAGAGTGCAAGAACCCTGAAACCGAAGTAATCTTCAAAGATGGAAACATTGTCTTGGATTGCAAGGCGTGCGGCAAGCGTTCGATGGTCGACCCTAGACTTAAGTTGAGCGGCTTTATCTTGAAGACCCAACCAAAGAAGGGCAAGAAAGACAAAGCAGAAAAGAAGGCAGCTCGTAAAGCCAAAGCAGACAAGGGCGAAGCCAAGGACAACGAAAATGCTAGTGGTAGCGAGAACGCATCTGAAAATGGATCCAATGACAACAATGGCGCCGGCGACGTGGCACTCGATGCTCCAAGTGACGATGAGCTTGTTCGTCAAGCAGAAGAGCTTCAACAATCTACCGAAGTCAAAGACGACGACTGGGCAGTAGATATGTCCCCAGAAGCTGTTAAGGCCCGTCAGCAACAGCTTCCTGACGATCTCAAGCAAAAGCTCGTCTTAGGTGGCGGTGGTGGAGACGAGGACGATGATGAAGAAGGTGGCGGAAACTCTACCTACGATCAGCTTGCAAATTGGATTGAAGAACAGACTGCGGAGAAAGGTGATGTCAGTAAGGTAGACGATCTTCAAATTTATCTTAAGGCGAAAGAGCTGGGAATCGAGGCGAAGCACCGCACTCTCGTTATTCTTGCTCTTACAGTCTTTGATGACAACATTGTGAAGCAGATTCCAAAGCGAGCAGGCATGCTTAAAAATGTAAGCTTGCGTATATTTATCTTGATTGTCCCATGAATACTAATCTTGTTGCAGATGATCACTTCTGAGAAACATGAAAAGTCTCTCCTCGGTGGAATTGAAAGATTTATTGGCCTCCGCGGTCAAAAGAACTCCGAATTCTACGAGAAGACATCAAATATCCTCATGGTCCTCTATGATCAGGAACTCCTCAGCGAAGAGGTCATCACCAAGTGGGGTACCAAAGCCAGCAAGAAATATACCAATGACCTTGCTGTGAGCAAGAAAGTTCGCAAGTCAGCAGAGGGGTTCTTGAAATGGTTGGCAGAGGCCGAGAGCGATGACGAGGACTCTGAGTAACAGGCAAGGCGTGCCTTGGTCAAGCCCGCACGGAGTGTTTTATTTTATTTCTGAAGTTTTGTCTTAAATAGTATCATTGTCAGGCCTCTATGCCATTTAAAGTATCATGGGCTTATGTTCATGCATGAATACATTCCATAGATCTTTTTTTGGTCGGCTGCTACTGTCTTCAGATTTGCTTAGCATCACTCAAAAGTCCCACTCACTGCTAATAACCAAATATATTCCACTCTTTTACTAATTATCCATGAGATCTATCTGTGAGAAAATGCAAGACGTTGTGATCGCGACTATGAGTAAGTTTTATGACAATCATTATGTTACATTAAACTATGATGAGAGGTCTAGGGGGCTGTAACATATAGCTATCAAGCGAGGGTATTTGAATTTCACGACGCAAACCAGACTGTAACACTAACCAGACTGCATCAGCATTCACGGCTGATAACGCATCGCGAACGTCGCTTCTATCCGGTATGATTCTTGCCAGAAGATCCAAAACGTCATCGAATGCGTCATCGTTCACCCCCGTACATTCCACTATAGCCATCAAAAGCTTCACTACACTCTCCCACATCTGTGCAGCCTGTGAGTGTATTCCACGACCACCAGTTCCAGTTTTCTCCACCAACATATTAGCCCTGGTCTGCCTGGCCAACGCAATCAAGCGGGGCCACTGCGTAGCAATTCTCGTGTTAAGAAAATTTCCAGCACTTCTGCAGATAGCTGCGATGGAGTCTGCAGCTGCGATGGCAACATGTGATTCCTTATCGTATAATCGATCTATGACTACAGGCCATATATCATTAACAAGAGGTAAGAAGCTCTCCTCGTCGCTTTGTAGAGCAGCAGAGGATGTGCGTATCAATCCGAGCAATCGCGTACGTAATGTCGGGGATGGATTTGTAAGATAGTGCTGACAGAGGCGGATAATGCTTTGGACCATGTTGTAGGTTTTTGTAACGGGAATCTTTTCTACTTCGACATTGTTATCTTCGTTGCTTTCACCAACCTCGGTCATGTCGTCCAATAATGCAGAGGCGCTTTTCCACGGCTCTCGTGGAAACTCATCAGGTCCGATATTCTCTTGCATCTTGAGTCGTTCCTGCTGCTTCTCGATTGCCTGAACGATACTATCAACTGTAATGGTACGAGTTCCACGTTGGATGACATCAACACGTGGTACGCCAGGTAGTCGCAATTGGCGAGATTGTGAGCCCATTTCTACAATCTCTCCGAGCACGGCAAATAGACCTTCTACCAATCCCTGGTAGCCATGAAAATTGTCCAAAGCGGCAAATATAGAAGATACCACATCGTCGAGATATAAAAGTAGAGATGGTCCCGTCAATTGAATCATCATTATTAGCACTTGTGGAGCTTGGGGTGATATGTCAAACGTGTTCAATCTCAACGAAATTGCGTTCACCATATAATCAACGTTCTCCACGATAAGTTCTCGGGTGCTCGGGTATTCGCAAGCTTGAGCAAGTGTGTTTAGACAAATAGTTGCGCGCCCTCTTAAATCACCGCTGGTCGAACCTAAAAGCTGCGACACGGGGTATAGTATATCCACGAGCTCTGCTCGAAAGTCTTTCTTTAAGCGCTTGGCCGAATTAGAGACGACCTCCAGCGCAATCCCTTTTACTCGCCAATCGAGATTATGGTCTTCGCTAGACAACACTGATATCGAGTAAGAATACAAATCATGGTTAGTGGCTTGATAGTCGTCCGAAGCAAGAAGTGTCGATTCGAAAAACTCATTCATTTCCTCGTTTTGAGAAGCGGCCAACTGTATCAATTGGGATGAGATCCAGTAGGCAGCCAGTAGACTTGGACCAGATGCTTGCCGTACATACTCGAGCATCTCGCTGGCCATGGTCATTTGTGGTTGCGATTCATTCAATGACCTTAGAAATGTTACCATAGCGGTTCTTGTAGACTTTTGACTTTGTTCCGGCATCAATATGGGAGGAAAATCCCTTAAGAGCATCTGTTCGCTTGACAACATCATCAGAGCCTGACTATTCGGGTCTAATAAAACCTCTTGCATCGCCCGATGGTGAGAAGAGGTCTCTATTACACTCGACAGGCCGTCTCGTAGCGATCTCGAAAGTGCTTCGTCAAGTATGGAAGAGCGCAGATCCAATTTGCTCAATAATTTGTATGACGCTGAAAGTTGGTGCAGTGCGGATACCTTGGCAGTCTCATCGCTCATTTGCATCACTCGTGGTAAGCTGGTCACCCAGTCATAACACGTTTTCTTGATCGACTCGCCGATGCTTGAATGTATAGTAGCCAAGTCCACAATAGAAGTTGTGCTAGCATCAAGAGGATCTTCTGCGCCGACTAATGACAAACAGGTCTCCACCAGGATAGAAGTCGAATCAACCAATGTATCATGGCATTCATCCAGTAAAACGATGCAAAATCGATTGAGTGAGACACGGACACTAT